TAAGAGCGTTCCAGACGGCCGCAGAAGTGCATCTGGAGAGCGTAGCGTGATGCGGTGACCGTCTTTGTTGGACGGTTCACCATAACCATCAAATGGCTTCTGTATTTGGACTCAGTCAACCAGCCGGCACTTCTGCAATTCACGAAGACCTCACCTGTCCACCTTGACTTGATAAGCAAGCGCAGAATACCACACTCGAACTCATTTGACACTCTGGCCCACGCCGGCTCGGTGATGGCACTGCGGTCATTCGCGGTTGCGCCACCGCTCCCCCGACAGTGATGCGGCCCCCAACAGAAGCAGACCTCGTTTGTGCGAGCTAACGAGGGCATCCCGTGTGCTATCACCGCGGTCAGGACGTTGTGTACAGCGGTCAGAGGCACTTGCTTTGTTTTGCATTGCACACAGGATGCTGTGGAAGCCGCCCGTTGGTGGTTTGTGTGCTCACAGCTCCACGTTGACAAATGGCCAGTCCTCACCACAGTAACCACCAACTTGGCCACTCTCTCATTCCCGGGAGGTGAGACTCCTTCATGGGCTGTGGCGCATGCCAGCATGATTGCCATGTTTTTCCGCCAACTCCTGTGAAATCAACAGTGATTTGCGTCCTTTTGTAGAGGGTCGCTCCCGTCACAGGAACGTGGAATTTCCACCCCCAACTCAAACGAGTCACCACTATAATGCTCATTTGGGCAGGACGTCACTTAGACTTTTGACTCGTCCTGAAAGGCACTCCACTGTCATTGCATTTACTGTTGTTGTTGTTGCGATTGTTTACCCAGGAAAGGCTTGCGGAGCCTCGTGACTCTTTCCAGGAGGGTCCTGCCAAGTATTGTTGCCGGCAACTTGCGGCTCGGTGGGCTTTGCCTGGTGAGATAAAAATTACGTAGTTTGTTTATTTTTAAGTGATTTGATTAACTTTCCTATACGTTGCACTCCTGTTGTGTTTTTGCATTGTTGTTGTAACGTTATTACCTGCCCCTACTGGACATATTTGATGAAGAGCTTCATAGCTCATCGGATTCCTCCAGTAAACACATTCTGATTCTGTATTCGCATGCATTGGGGTTCTTGAAATATTTTTTTCTATCGAATTCGAAAAAAAATTCTCTTTGGGTTGTTTTGGTGGCCGGCTCCTGCAGTAGGGGGTGACGCTTGCCCATTTCTACTCCGATGTTGTTGTTGTTGATACGGGCATTGGCTTGCGAGTCAACACAGATGACAGGTTCGTTGAAAAGGGAGTAATTGTGTCCCACGCGGGCATGTCCCGTAGTCACACAGATGTTCCACCAGGGACAATTATGACAACAACAAGAAACCATAATGGGTTCTCCGAAAGCTGTGGTCTACAATGGGGACGCTCCATTTGAGTCGCTGTGGGGAGTGCCTGGGAAGGGAGGCTTGGCGCGGTCACGGCGGCAGACGTGGTCGCGCTATCAGACGTCGCGTGTTGTTTGTCAGCGAGGAGGAATGTGGGCCTCGTGTGGTGCTGCAGTTGCACCCTCTGGGAAGCAGGGCTCTGAAAACAGGGGCTGGCGGATCTCACGTTTACTGAATCGCTGTTGATTTTGGGGTCAGGCCGCAGGACTGATCTGAGCAGTCCTCACAAGTGTATGTAGCAGTGGACGCTGTGTCTACTGATTAACTTGGTTGTACTGCGTGCAACGTTTGTAGAACTTCTTCGGCACCGTACATAGCCAACCGTGCTACTCGGAGGTGCGGATTACTCTTCAACTTGCCGGCCAGTCATCTGAAACGTTCTTGACTGGTGCGTCCAAACGCTTGTACACGTGACGGTTTACTCCAATTGGCTGTTGTCGGGTTGGTGCAGGGTTTCACAGATCATTACATGGCCTCACCAGAAAATCTATTGCGAATCATGATATTCGCTAAGAAAATCTACGCGTTCAAAACCGTGATTTACATTTTTTGTCATTTATCGCCAAATGTAATTGTGAACGGCGCTGTCAGCGTCGCGTCATCACGAGATGGAGAATCCATTCGTGCCCCTCTCGGAGCGGTGCCCGCGGAAGCGGATATCACAGAACTGCATCTGAGATCCCTTCGTCCAGTGAGCTGTGGTCTGCACAGTCGAGGGCAGCTTAGAGGTCGCAGAGCCGAGTGTCACCCAACCCCCACCGTGACGCAGTGCTGCGCCGGTTTCCTCCTCCCACACGACGCCAAATGCTCACAAACCCTCTCCCGTTCCGAGACGTCTCCAAGTTGCAGGGTGTGGGGTGTCCCGTTCACCACCGAATCTCGGAACGCGCGAGCAGCTCGGCGTGAATTTTGTTTAGAGAGGCATTGCGCCGTTGTTTTTAAAGACATTGTGACTCACCGCAGAGAACCGTAGCGGCACGACCGCACTTTACGATAGCTGGCACTAAACTGTGCTACACACCCTCTTGTGTGGCCTTATGTCTTCCAGAATCAGAATATTTACTTGTACTGGAGGAATCAGTTGAGCTGCAAAGCTCTTTTTCACAAATGTCCAAGATCACAGATCCCTGACTTGAAGACGTACCGATAAAGTTATTGCATATTAGTTTATCTTACGATTCCGTTCGGATGACGCACACGTACGTCATCGGTAATGACTGGTGCCGTGCGTGTACATCATTGGAACGGAATTACGTGTGTGCGTGTATGTTGAACTTCTTTCGCACCCTACATAGTCAACCGTACTAATCGGAAGTGGGGGGGGGGGGGGAAGGACAACAAACTAAACACAAAAGCAATTCTAAAGAAATTATTTTTCAATCCAGATTTAAAAGTTCACAGGTCTAGTGGCTTCATAATATCGGAAGAGCGTTCCAGACGGCCGCAGAAGCGTGTCTGAAAGCACGCGACGCGGTGACCGTCTTTGTTCGATGGCCAGCCATAAGCTGCTGCTGCTGCGAGGTATTGCAGTTCATATGTGGCAAGCGCTGTGTGTGTCATGAGCGCGAACGTAAAATGTGTTCGTTCAGCAACCGGACCCCAATGCAGCTCGGCGAGCACTGGACGGACATGTGCGAGTCTCCCTCCCACCCCCTCCCCCCCACGTGACCTCCAACACCCCCCCCAGCCCCCCCCCCCCCACAGCGTGGGCTCTGTCGTGGCCGTGCCTTGCTCAGGCCCCTCCGTGTGCATCGCGTGACGCGCACAGCCAGCAGAGTCGAACATCTGGAGCTGTGCACTTTTAAATCCTCGTCTAGATTGAGAAATAATTTATTTTTGTGTTTATATTGTTGTCCTTCACCCACACTTCATTAGCACGGTTGGCTACGTACGGTGCGAAAGAAGTTCCTACATAAGTACAAATCGCAGGCGCAAGTGCCAGCGCTTTGTGTGTAGCTTGCGTATGTTTGCTGGAGCGTTTTGACGCGTCGCAATGGTTAAAAACAAACACTCGCGAACCCTGACCGCTGTTGGCCAAAACGTTATCCCCAAAGTGCTGGGAAATCGAGACCCTGCACATGACTCAACTGGGATAATGCTTAGCAGCAGCAGCGGCAGCAGCAGCAGCAACATCGCCATCAACCCCCACCACCACCACCGAGCGTGAAAACATTGGGCCAGAGTCCTCCTGACAGGAAGAGTCCTCAGATTTGGCGGCTTGGGTCAACAAGCGTCGTCGACCAATAAAATAAATAATATGCCAAAGCTGTGACGCATTGCCGAGTCTTGAGTGCACGTGCGAGGCTGGTGAAAGAGAGGAGGCGCAGGGGGGTGGTTGGAATCCCACCTCCTCTTAGTTCTGGCCATAGCCGTCTTCTTCTTCTTCTTGTCGTACAGCTGACGTCGATGCAGAGCCAACAACCACAGCGTCACATTGCGGTGGTGGTCGTCGAGCCAGACGACCCACGTCAGGACCAGCGGAGTCGTGTATCATCGTCATCGCCGCCGCCGCCGTGCGGTGCGTCCTTCGTATTTTTGTGGCTCGGGGCATTGCGCCGTCGTGTTCTGGATGGCCACAGTCGGGCAGTGGCGTCGAGTGACTGGCGTGGGCCTCGCTGGAATGAAGTGGTGGGTGGTTGGGGTGGGCTTTCTCTCCCCTCTCTCAATTCACACTCCCCCCCCCCCCTCCTCGATCCGTAGCCCAGCGCCTGGGCCCCTCCAGGACGAGGCTTCCCCCCCGGGTGCAGTTGCAATACCTGGGCGCTGGGTAGCTGCTGCTGCGGCCACTGCCGTGGGTAGGGCTGGGCAACCTTTCACAGAAGAAGAGGAGCTATTTTATTTAGATTTTTGTCTGACCAAAATGGTTTGAGAGCCGCATCGCACGCGGAGCTTCTCGCACACGTGCACGAGCATTGCCGGTACACGGGAGAAACAAACGAACGATGACAAACAAATTCTGACTCGAATAAACAGAATAGGCGATGGAATAAACCGCGTCTATTTAGTTTATTTTCTCTCCACAGTTATTCTTGAACAGCACCGTTTGGCCGTTGCGCATTTTGTCGTCACCAGGACATTCCGTAGTCGCACATTTCCTGCCATATTTAATCGATTATCTTCTTACGTTCAATTATGTTGTTTCAGATTTATATAAAAAAAATACGCTGGCTGCAAGGGACCAGCCAAAGAGCCACGAGGGGGAAGCCAAAGAGCTCCGCTCGCGACTCCAGAGCCACAGGTTGCTGACCCCTGGCCATTATCAACATCTCCAATTAGCACGGTGGATCACATACACTGCTAAAGTACTTCAGCGTACATTTTATATTTATCATCTTGCTTCCTCATTCTCCTCGTCTTCACCTTATCATCATCTCCTCCTCCTCCTCACTCCTCAAGTTACCAAAACAAGCGAAGGGCCCTCTCTCCCCCGGAGGGGGGAGTCGGGGGGGACGCGATGTCCAACCGTTGCGGAAACGCCGCTGGTGCACTCGGGGGGGGGGGGGGGGGGGGGGGCTCGTGTGCAATTTCCTCACCGCCCGAGCTGCGCCTCCCTCTTCCACCTCCTCCTCCGGCTCCTTCGTCCCCCACCGCAAGCCAGCAGCCGACCGCTCTCCCTCCTCCCGTTTCCTGTTCCGCCAGCGAGCGCCGGGGGCTATAAGCGAGAGTCTCCCGCCGCACGCGCTGCGAGCAGCGACAGCGCGTCGCACGCTGACCCCCGAGCTCCAGGGCGCATTGTGAAACAAAGAGAGACGATTTCTTAAATCCTTGTTTTCGCTCCCCCGTTTTGCGTCTCTCGAGTTTGCTTTGTCTCAAGACCGCGCAGAGTTTCTTGTTGCGATGTCGTCCCACCGTGGGCTGGGCGTGCGACTGCTGCCGCCGCTGCTGCTGCTGCTGCTGGCGCTGCTGCTGCCGCTGGCGCCGAGTGCCCCCTTGGCCCCGGAGAGCGGCGGCGGCGGCGCGGACCCCCAGGACTACGGGCAGCCCGGAGAGCGCGACGCCGCCGGGGGGGCGGGCGACGGGGAAGACGACGCGCCCCTCGCCTCCTCCCTGCAGGAGAAGAGCGAGGAGAAAATGCGCAACCTGAGGATGGCCGTGGTGCGTTTGCCTGCCCCCCCCCCCCCACACAGTCACACCTCTCGCGTCCCATTCCCAGATCTCACTCCACTCCTCGGCTGTTCGCACCTCCTCGGTCCAATGTTAGGAAGACCACTGGAGCTGAAAACTCTTTCTTGAAAACTGCTTTATTGTGTTTAGTTTGTTTTCCTGCCCCCCTCCCGCCACCTCTGAGCACAGTTGGCTGAGTACAGTGCAAAAGAAGTCCATCATACGTACACATTCTGTGCACGCGGTCCAAAATCTCACTCTGAAAACTTTCCAGCTCCTCCACCTCTGCTTACCTCGCAGCTGCAGGATCACTGCCTCGACCACACCAAATCCTCCTCCGACCATCAACCCCGTTCCCTGTCTCTGTCTCGCACGTGCGCAGAAATACCTGAAGAACCTGGGCTACACGGAGACGCGGAACGACTCGAGCAGCATGGTGCAGCTGCCCTCCTCCATCCGCAAGATGCAGCGCTTCTTCCGCCTGGCGGAGACGGGCGAGCTGGACGCCGCCACGGTGGCCGTCATGAAGAAGCCGCGGTGCGGGGTGCCCGACGTGGCCGCCTACAACCTGTTCCCTCGCAAGGAGAAGTGGGACCAAGAGCAGCTCACCTACAGGTGGGCCGCGCACAAACCGGGCTCGGCACGGCGCAGTCGGTGGCGGCGGCGGTGGTTTCGGCACACCGGCCGTGCCGCGCTCGTGGCCTTGGTGCAGTGACACGGCCCGGCGGCGATGCCTCGGATGTTTCGCGGTTCGAATCGGAGTGGCAGCCCTGGTTATTACCGCGGGCGTAGTCACTAATGGTAGTGGTAATGACGATACTACTACGCGCCGTCTGATTCTCTCACAGAGGACGTGAAAGTTCCCATCATAGTTCTTGTTTGGGTTAGATCGCGTAAGTGTAAATGTGTCGGTACACCCACCACCACCCGACACAGCCAATTAGTAAGGTTCGTCGCGTAAACAAAACCGGTGTGTTGGAGGGTAAACCCACAACATTTACAATTCGAGTACGACGTTTATATTTTTGCAATCTTTTATATTTACAAAATCTAACCCAATTAAAACCTTTATTATGAAATAATACTGGTCGCGAAAGCCGATGTATTAAAGTTCTCCCGATGGCATTCATAATTGTTTCAGTCAATGTTAGCCACTGAGGTCATGACGGATTTCTTTTTTCATTCCTGTTAAACTAAACTATAAACTGTTGGTATTTATCAAAGTAAGGCTCACTACTGAGCAACGTAGCTCTTTATCCGAAGCGTCCTCGCTCTCACAAATGATAGCCCAACGAGACGTGGCTTATCATCATCACGTGGATATTCACAGCAGCAAAATACTCCAAACACGTGACGTTGATTCTAAATGTGGAGGGAAAAACCAGAGGACCCGGGGAAAAATGTACATAACCACGGGGAGAGAGACACGCAAACTCCATGTACACGGGCGTCAGGGTCGGGATAGAACCCACGGCCTCCTGTATACCAGGCGAGGTAGTCAACATATCACCACCGTGGCGCTTTATGCCCCTGTACTGTAAATAGTCATTTCCTCCTCGCAAAAACAGAGCAGACAATTCGGTATCATCGCGGCCAATTTTTCTTGACCGCGGACAAAACTCGTCGTGACCGAATGGCTGAATGACGACTGGGGCGGCGGCGGCGGCGGCGGCGGCGGTGGTGGTGCCATGGTGGTGCCGGCGGCGGTGGCGGCGGTGGTGGCGGTGGTGCCGCTTGACCGCGTTTGCGTGCGTGGCAGGATCCTGAACTACACGCCCGACCTGGACACGCGCCTCGTGGACGACGCGTTCGCACGCGCGCTGGCGCTGTGGAGCGCCGTGACGCCGCTCACCTTCCAGCGGCTTTACGATGGCGAGGCCGACATCATGATCATGTTCGGCCGCGGAGGTGAGACACCCCACCCACCCCCCTCCTGCTCCTCCCGCCCCGCCCCCCACTACTGCCGTCACCCCCCACTATCTCCCCCGCCCTCCACTAGTTAAGCCTAACTAAAGTAGCACCTAATCCTAACTAAGGTAGGGCCCTAACATAATAAATGTAGAAACTAACCATAACCAATGTAGAGCGTAACCCTAACCAATGTAGGGCCTAACTAACCAACGTAGCGCCTAACCCTAACCAATGCAGCACCTAACCCTAACCTTAAAATGGGTGTACGAATTATCAGGAGGCAACGAATGTTCACCGATGGGAACAAATATCCATCGGGTATCGTTTTCTCTTTTCCTCTATTGCGCTCTTTGTGTTCATGGCGGGGGTCAACAACTTTCAGGTTCACCTCCGATTAGTGCGGTTGGCTATGTACGGTGCGAAAGAAGTTCTATACGCATATATATGCACATAAGTTGAACTTCTTTTACACCGCACGTAGCTAACCGTGCTAATCGGGGGTGCGGGGGCTGGGAAGTACAATACAAAAGGCAGTTCCAAATGAACGAGTTTTCAATCTAAAAGATGTTAAAGTGCACGACTCCAGTGGCTTCCTGATAGCGGAATGAAGAATGCTCCAGACGGCCGCAGAAGCGCATCTGAAAGTGCACGATGTGGTCACCCTCTTTATATTGTGGCCAGTCAAAGGCCCCTGCGAGGATGACCGGCGTTCGCGTGATGATGCTTCACGCTCCCTGACGCGTGCGCCTCTCAGAGCACGGCGACGGCTACCCGTTTGACGGCAAGGACGGGCTGCTGGCACACGCCTTCCCTCCGCGCAGCGGCGAGGGGGGAGACTCGCACTTCGACGACGACGAGGAGTGGTCGCTCGGGGAGGGCAAAGGTAAATCAACGGCGTGGCGACTGCTCCCACACCCATGGCGCAGGCGTCGCCGCCGCCGCCGCCCAGCGGCCGGTGGCCCCCACGGCTGGGGCCACCGGGGTGGCCGCGCGCGCAGCGCCGGTGGTGGCGCGTCTCGAGCCGCTGTGCTGCACCGCACATTTTTGTGACGTCGCCACCAGTTTCGCTGCGGCTACTGCCTCCGTTGCTGCATTGGCGGTGGTGCGTGTTGTCGGCGGTGGTTGGTGGGGGTGGTGGTATTGTAACGTCGATGACGCCATCGGTGGGCGAGCAGTGATCAAGACGCGCTTCGGGAACGCCGAGGGAGCCACGTGCCACTTCCCGTTCTTCTTCGAGGGCGTGGAGTACAACGGCTGCACCGCCAAGGGCCGCAAGGACGGGATGCTGTGGTGCTCCACCACCGCCGACTACGACACCGACGCCAAGTATGGCTTCTGCCCCTCTGAAAGTGAGTGCCACGTGCCCTCTCGATCACTCGCTCACTCACTCACTTACTCACCCGCTCGCTCACCCACTCACTCACCCGCTCGCTCGATCTCCCGCTCACCCATCCTGGAGTCTCGTCGTCCCCCGTTGCCGTGGCGGTTTTTTGCGACCAGTGGCCGCCCCGGTTAATAGTGCCGGGTGTCTGGACCCCGCTGTCCGCGTCACTCGCAGTGGCCGTGAAAGATCCCCACGACGTCATTCTGAACGGAGCAGGCCACAAAAACGGCAACGCAAATCTCACAGTCGGGTAAAACCACGAAGCGACATCGCACGCCGACCGTGGAACTACCGCCACCGACAATACTCGTGCGTGAAACGTAGCACCTTCATGTTCGCCTTGCATGATGAAAATTGCACATTTACCAATGGTCCTTCAATGTTATTATGATTAACTTCACTGCTCCTCCTAACCTACCAGGTACTCTCATCTGTGTAAGCCACTTTGTACGTACGTACGTTGAACTTCTTTCGCGCCGTACGTAGCCAACCGTGCTAATCGGAGGTACAGTGGGGTGAAGTACCACAAACTAAACACAATGACGAGCAGTTCTAAGGAAACGAGATTTTGATTTAGAAAACGAGTTTTCAATTCATATATCAATGGATTGCACAACGCATTGACCAGCGCATGCTGCCCCCGCCGTGCGCGCTCCGCCCCCCCCCCCCCCCTGTTTACCCACCGTGCGGCCGCTGGCACCCCCAGGCCTCATGACGTTCGGCGGCAACGGCGGCGGCAAGCCGTGCAAGTTCCCCTTCGTGTTCCTGGGCGAGACGTACGACTCGTGCACCGCCACCGGGCGCAAGGACGGCTACCGCTGGTGCTCCACCACGGAGGACTACGACCGCGACAAGCTCTACGGCTTCTGCCCCTCTGACGGTGACGGGGGGGGCGGGGGGCAGTGGGGGGGGGGCAGTGGGGGGAGAGGGGGCATCGCCGCAGCGTCCGGCAGGAGTCGAGCCCACTCTGGGCCCTCGCTGAAACGCGGCGGTCTTTCCCGCTGGCCGGCTATTTGCCCGTGCCACTGGCGCGTTATCTAAGCCGTGCCTCAAGACTTCGTTCGCATGGCACGGTGAAGCCAGGGACGTCGTCTCCGCGGGTGTCGAGGTTGTGAAGAAGGTTCGGCAGCCTCTGCGGAGGCTCGGCGGCAATCGGCGAGAGTTGGTTGCGAATCGGCGGCGTGGGAGTCGTTTGATCGTGCGATCGACGGCCAGGCCGTGGCGATCGCTGTCGCGCTGCGGACTGTGAAGGCCGCGTCGCAGTGTGGATGGTCTTCTCGCAGCGCCGAGTGCGGAGCCAAACCGCACTACGCCGGCCTCACGAGACATCCGAGGTGCCCCCCTGCACGCTGAGGAGCTCGGATGTGCCAGTGGCCAAGGGGGGTCTAGAGGAGGTCGTGGTGGTATACAGGAGATCATTCGTTTGATCCCGACCCTGATGCCTACTGTATTTATGGAGTGTGCTTGTCTCTCACCATGTGGTCGCGTGGATTTTTCTCCGGGTCCTTTGGTTTTTCCCTCAACGTTTAGAACCAACATGCTTTCAGAGTATTTGGCTATTATATTAATGTCCACGTGATGATGATAAGCCACATCGTTGAGCTATCATTTGTGGCTAATTCGCTTCTGAAAAAGAGCTGTATAGCTCAGTGGGCCTTACCTGGCAAAGTAAAGAACTTGTAGAATTTGTAATAAATAAATTTCACTTGAGTACCAGGACTTGTACTATCTTCGCGATACAAATGTTGTTTGACCAAACTAGTCGCTGGGAAACCGCTTGCCCCGACTGACCGAGCGGTTGGGGCACTGCTGCCTCTCCGAGCCAGCAGATGCCACGGCAATTGCTCGTCCGGGATTTTCAGAATCTTTACTTCGACTTGCAGGAGGAGGAGTCGCAGATGTCCAGTGCCGGGGCGGGGCCGTGAGTTCACAACAGCAAGAGGGAAGCGTTTGTTTTCAGATTTTTTGTTTAAAGAAATAAAATAATATTCACGAGTGCGATGTCGTGCGTGGGGCGTGGGTTCGTGCCGCCCCCTGATCCCACTCGTTCCCGTCCGCAGCCATGGCGACGTCGGGCGGCAATGCGCAGGGCGCGTCGTGCGTCTTCCCCTTCGTGTTCCTGAGCGACTCGTACGACGCCTGCACGCAGAACGGCCGCAAGGACGGAAAGTCCTGGTGCGCCACCACCTCCAGCTTCGACGAGGACAAGAAGTGGGGCTTCTGTCCCGATGCTGGTGACCTCCCACAACCTCCACTCACCCCTCCCCCGTCCCCCCTCGTGGGTGAACACCACTTCGAGGCGAAATGAAATGGGCGAATAAAGATGTCCACGCTGAGGTGAACATCAGTGGCGCGCCCAGCTGAACATTTCCGAGGGGAGCAATTTGTTGGAAAAAGCGAACCAAGTCAGACGGGGCGCCACGGTGGCTATGAGATGTTGACTACCTCGCCTGGTTTGCAGGACGTCGTGGGTTCGATCTCGACCCTGACGCCTGCTGCTGTATATTTGGAGTTTGCGTGTCTCTATCTCTCATCATCATGGTGGCTATGAGATGTTGACTACCTGGCCTGGTTTGCAGGACGTCGTGGGTTCAATCTCGACCCTGCCGCCTGCTGCTGTATATTTGGAGTTTGCGTGTCTCTCTTTCTCTGCCTGTGGTCGCGTGGATTTTTCTCCGGGTCCTCCGGGTTTTTCACTTCGCATTTAGAATCGACATCACGTGTTTCAAATATTTGGCTGCTTCTATCAATTTCCAGGTGATGATAAGCCACTAACTTCGTTGAGCTATCATCGGTGATAGCCAGGTCTCTTCTGAAAAAGAGCACTCACTGGGCCTTACAACAGGGAGAGAAAGACACGCAAACTCCAAATATACAACGGGTGTCAGGGTCGGGATTAAACTCACGGAGCTGCTGTATTCCAGGTGAGGTCGTTAACATCTCGCCACCATGGGCGCTCGCACGTGTCCCCTCAGAAACAACTGGTGTGGGGGGAGGGGGGGACACCTGTGAGAGAGGTGGGACACGACCGGCAAACAAATGAAGCCCGAGTCGTCGAGTTCTTCTGCTCGCCCAGCGGAGAACTCGAGGGGACCGGCACGAGTGGTCATCCGCACGATGGGCCCGGCCGGCGAGCTCCCTGACCTGACCGTGCGCCGTGACCCCTCCCGTCCCCCCCCCCTCCCCGCCACCGTGCCCAGGCTACAGTCTCTACCTGGTGGCGGCGCACGAGTTTGGCCACGCGCTGGGCCTGGAGCACTCGCAAGAGGAGGAGGCTCTCATGTTCCCCACCTACAAGTTCACGCGCGACAACCCGCTCACCCCTGATGACATCGCCGGCATCCAGTACCTCTACGGTGGGCGGGCGGGCGGACGGGCGGGCGGATGGGCGTGTGGGAGGGAGGGTGGGAGTGCAGGTGGGTGGGTGGGAGTGCAGGTGGGTGGGTGAGTGGGTGGATAGATGGGTTTGTGGTAGGGAGGGTGCCCGTCCCTGGGGAAGGGACTGGCATTGCGCGGGGACTGCTTGCTACCCGCGTCAGGTTAGCACCTCTGATTAGCATGGTTGACTATGTACGGTGCGAAAGAAGTTCAACATACACACAACATACACGCATGCATTCCCACTTTTTGCCACTGGCACATCGAGAGGCGAGCCAGCGCGGGGCCCTGACGGTGCGGGTGGTGTTTCCACCGGCTCGTTGAGGCCGTGCCGAGCCGGAACCAAACTGTGATGCGCTGCTGCTGGTCTCTAAAAGACATTCGTGTCTGGCTCGTGGCCAAGCAGGGCCAGGGTCGAGGCTACCGACACGTTCATTTTCAGTGATTACACTGAGGACACGGCATACCCTGGTGGTCCACTGGTTAGGATTTGGCGCTCTCATCTCCGCTGCCCGGGTTCAATACCGGTCAGCGAACGAGTTTCGCACCTCTGATTAGCATGGTTGGCTATGCACGGTGCGAAAGAAGTTCAACGTACATACATACGTACATCAGGGGTCGTCTTCACTGCGTGCGACGCAGCTGGGCATGTGCAGTGGAAAAACAATGCTGGCGCCTCCTGAACAGCGCTGGGGCTGGCTCGGCACAGCTGGTTTGGATAAGAGGGCCCACGGGCATTTAGATGCTCAGTTATTCCAGATGAGCAGTGGTGTCGATGGTAATGATGTTGATAATGGTTGTTATGATAGTGGTGAAGGTGTTGGTGCTGGTGGTGTTGATTATGGTTGTTATGATAGTGGTTAAGGTGTTGATGGTGGTGGTGTTGATTATGGTTGTTATGATAGTGGGTGATGATGGTGCTGGTGATGCTGATGGTGGTGACGACGGTGATGTCGGTGGTGGTGACGCCCCCCCTCCCTCCCTCCCTCCCTCCCGTCCCTTCCCCCGTTGGTGCAGGCGAGGGGAAGGGCGGGAAGCCCTCCAAGCCCACCAAGGCCCCAGTTGCCCCACCGACTCAGGCTCCCGACACGGGGCCCAAGTACGAGGTGTGTAAGGACGTCAAGGTGAAATTCGACGCCATCGCCCAGATCAACGGGCAGGTCTACTTCTTCAAGAACAAGTGAGTACAACCCAGCGGCCAGCGCCGGTCGGGACTACGAATTGCCAAGCGTGTGTGTACCGCGTGTTGAACTTCTTTCGCACCGTACGTAGCCAACCGTGCTAATCAGAGGTGCGGGGAAGGACAAAAAACGCCGTGAAGTGGGAGGAGGAGCGGGTTTAATGAGCGATGGGAGAGCCTGTGCACGCCACACACACGCACTGCGGAGGGGGGGAACACCTTCATCACCTCCATCACCTCCTCCTCCTCGTGCGCCCGCCCCTGTTGCAGGATGCACGTGCGCGTGGCGCAGCCAGGCTCGCGGGCGGGCCGTCCCCGCTGGAACGCCGACGTGTGGGAGGGCCTCCCCGAGAGGGTTGAGGCTGCGTACGCCGAACCCAGCAGCAACCACACCGTGTTCTTCTCCGGTGAGCACCCCCCGCCCCCCCCCCCCCCCAACGCGATCGAACCGCCGCTTTGCTGCCAGGGTTAGCAAATCTCGCAGCTCTCGTCGGTTAATACTGAACTAAAACTACAAACTATTTTAATTTGCTGGTTAAGGCCCAATAAAAACCAGCGCTTTAGGGGCCAGGGCCCGACTTGGAGCGGTTTGCTTACTCCTGCGGTCACGTAACGATGTGTAAGTGATAAAACTAAACAATAAATCATTTTTTATTTGACCAGGTAAGGGCCCACTGAGCTATTGTAGCTCTTTTTCAGAACTGCCTGCTTATAACTACTGATAGCTCAATGAAAGCGGATTATCGCTTGGAGATTTTTAGCGGCCAAATACTCCAAACGTGTGACGATTATTTGCACCGCGGCCGGATAGCTGCGAAGCTGTGCTCACCCATGTCTCCCCGCCCTCACCCCCCTCTCAACTCGTCCTCACCCACCAGGCACCAAGTATTGGGCGTACGCGGGCGGCAAGCTGCTGCCGGGCTACCCCAAGAGCTTGACGCGACTGGGCCTGCCCGCGGAGCTGACGGGCCTGGATGCGGCGTTCTACTGGTCCCACAACAAGAAGACGTACCTCTTCGCTGGGGACAAGTACTGGAGGTATGAGCACCGAGATGATGACGACGATGAACCGTGCCAACGCGCCGTGTGCCGAGCGACGCGTTGGAATGAGGTGGCGCGTGGCTCATAGCAATTTTTGAAAATAAAACTAAACTTTTTTTTTAACCACATGAGGTCCACTGAGCTGTACAGATTTTTGTTCACAAGCGACCTGGCCATCGCACATTGAGAGCTCAACGGAGTGGATTAGTCGCGTGGAAGTTTATAGCAGCGGCCAAATGCTCTTAACGCGTGACGTTGTTTCTAAATGTAGAGGGAAAAACAGGAGGACCCGGAGAAAAATCCACGCAACCACGGGGAGAGAGAACATGAAAACATGCAAACTCCATGTACAGGCATCGGGGTCGGGATCAAACCCACGACCTGCTGTATTTTACAATTAATTGGAATTCATCTGTTAGATCGGGCCTATATATTACATTTTGGACGATCCAATCGTTATTTTCTGAGACGATTTTGGAAAATCAGAAGTAATGTCACTGATATTTTAGTGACGTCATGTCCGGTTTTTCCCCCACCCCCACACCACCAGAAATCGCACCACAATGTACAGTATTAGTACGTGGCGTGTAAATGATGCAAAATATTGCAATCGCAGAATCTGGACAAAATACCAGAAATGCTCCCGGAAAGTCCAACGATATGAATCACAAAAACAAGATTCCAGCGGTGGGAGAGTCACGTGTTCATGTGTGGGGGGACGTTGTTGTGCTCAGATACAACGAGCACAAGAAGAAGATGGATGCCGACTACCCCAAGCTGATCGGCGACTACTGGAACGGCGTGCCGGACAGCGTCGACGCCACCTTGGCACACGGCGGTGAGTCCCGACGGCGGGATGCCAGGACGGCCACTTTCGGGGTCACTGGGGGTCACTCGGGGTCACTCGGGGTCACCCTCTGGTCAATCGGAGTCGCTCAGGGTCACTCGAGTTATTCCACGTCATTCGGAGTCACTCGGGCTCATGTGAACTATTCCGGGTCATTCAGTGTCACTTGGATTATTCAGGGGAAATTCAAAGTCACTCAAGGTCATTCGGGGTCACTCATAGTCAACTGGGCCACTGTATATGAGTCTACGTGAGTCTATGGGTCTCTTTGTGAGTCTATGGGTCTCTATGTGAGTCTGTCGGTTTCTTTGTGAGTCTGTGGGTTTCTATATGTCTGAGTCTCATGGATCGCTAAGCTTGCGGGTCTCTGTGAGTTTGCAGGTCGGTATCTATGTCAATGGGTCTGAGTCAGTGCTTCTTCACGTGAGTCAAAATATCTCTACGTGAGAAAAGCACTGATGATGAAGATATTATTATTATTATTTACTCCTATTTTTATTTTACCAGGCAAGGCCCACTGAGCTGTATAACTCTTTTTCAGAAACAACCTGGTCACAAATTATGTATATCAGAAAAATACTCTCAATGTGTGACGTTGATTCTAAATGTGGAGGAAAAAACTGGAGAAAAATCCACGCAACCATGGGGAGAACGTGCAAACTCCAAATACACAGCAGCAGGCGTCAGGGTTGGGATCGAATTTACGACCTCCTGTACACCAGACGAGGCAGTCAACATCTCCTAGCCACCACGGCACATTGAGCTGTTACCGTGCCAGCAGGTTGCAGTTTCTCATTGAATCCACCTGCACACGTCACCGCCCGAGATTGGAACACCCGAGGCACGGACTCTGTTCAAGTTCAAGTTCATTTATTAGGTATAGCCCTGTGAGCCATTCAGCTCTTGAATCGGGTGCAACCGCAACAAACAAAAAACAAAAACATGAACAAAAAACATCTTAAAGTGAATATGTGACTAAGTGCAAACAGAAAATCCAAGAAAAGACAGCAAAAATATTGCAGAAAAAACACCGTAAACCAACGCTGTGTGCAAAAATCTCAGTGGGATGCAAGTCAAACAACAACAACCACAAGACAGCTTAAATTAAGGCCATCAGTCTAACTCTGTACTACAACAAACAAACATGGCTAAACCAATACACTTTTCGAAATCACCAAAATAAAGCCATGAAAGCAATGAAAAAGCAATCATAGGAACTGTGACGGAATTTTCACAATAAATGGCATAAACAACATGTACTACCAAAACCCTGCAGCCATAGCTGGCTGCATGAGTCACTCCACAACAGCAGGAGCATCAATCGGAGTATTGTAATTTTTCAATGCACCTTTAAGATCAGCACACTAAATCAAAACACAGGTCATACTTTGTAGCGATCATCCGGATCGAAACATTTTATTTTAGGTCACTGAATAGCACTGGCAGCTAGGGGTGTACAACTCCTCTAGAGCAGTTTTGAGTGAAGATCTCATAGGTAGTGACTCAAGTTTCAATTTATTTGCAACAGCATTCCAGACCCTGGGGGCATCAATAGCAAAGGCCCTTCCTCCAGTATATGTACGGCAATAGGGAATATGAAGCTGGTAAATGAGTGTAGACCTTAGGTCAAATTTGTTCTTTGAAACAGAGAGGAGATCCAGCAGGTAATCTGCAGATTTTTTTGTAAGCACATCATGAGTAAATAAGATCTGGTGCACAAGCCGTCGAACATTCAGAGATGTTAAGTTTGACCCAATGTAGAGATCACAGTGGTGAGTCCTATATGGGCAGTTCAATGCAAATCTTAAGGCCGAGTGATACATTGAGTCAAGCTTCTTCCACCGGGGGAGGATCTTGAGGAGGGCGAGCGAGCGTTTTGGATACCGATCCGGGTTTGGATGGGGGGCCTGTGGAGCGAGCAGGGCGATGGAGCCTCGTTCAGCGAGCACGTACGAGGAGCAGCCTGGCTGCGGCGTTTTGGAATAGTCCGGAACCGCGGGGTTATTTTGCTGCCATGGATCTCCACGTGGTGATGATAATGATAAGCCACTTCGTTGAGCTGTCATTTGTGGCCAGGTCGCTTCTGAAAAAAAATGCTAATGGCTCAGTGGGTCTTACCTGGTTAGAAAAATATACAAATATAAAACTAAAGTTTTTTTCACAAGTGATTTGTTTACCTTTCCTATACTTTGCACTCCTGCCGTGTCTTTGAGTTGTGTTTGTTGTTGTCACGTTCTGACCTGCCCCGACTGGACATCTGAGAAAGAGCTTCATAGCTCATCGGATTCCTCCTGCAGTGTAAATACAAATTCTGATAATGCTGGGGACTGTGACCCCTTTGCCCCCCCCCCCCCTCCCTGCCTCCCCTGCAGGTGCCGTCTACTTCTTCAAGGACTTCTACTACCAGAAGTACATGGACCGCAACCTGAGGCTGAGCAAGGTCGGGGTCTGCCTCAAGGACTGGCTGGGATGTTGATGAGCCCAGCGAGAGGCGGGTCCTTTCCGCCGGCTCTCGTGCCCTTGCAGCGCTGCGGGGGCCCCTTCCGTGGGTGCCTCTGTGGGTCCTTGTGACGTCTATGGGGTCCTTGTGACATCTGTGGGGGTCCGTGTGACATCTGCACGCCGCTTGACTACCACCCTCCCGACTGCTCTGCGTGCGTGTCAGGTGCTGCCTGCGCTACCACTGACAGCCGTGCCTCATTGTCGAGAGGCTCTTATGCGCCCCTCTTCCGGGACACTGCTGTGTTGTACAATACAATATGAGATAAAAGCTAAACTATTTTTTTTAATTTTACCAAGGAAGCCCCACTGAGCTATGTAGCTCTTTTTTTCCCCGAAGTGTCCTGGCCACCAATGACAAATACTCTAAATGTGTGGTGATGTTGATTCTAAATGTGGGGGGAAAACCGGAGAATCCGGAGACAAATCCACACCACCACGGGGAGAGAGCGAGAGAGACCTGCAAACTCCAAATATACAGCAGGCGTCAAGGGTGGGAATCGAACCCACGAGCCTCCTGCATGCCAGGCGAGGTATTTAACATCTAGGAAAGCCTCACTTGAGTTTCAAGGACTCGTTTACCAGCCGGGTTCCTGCCGAGTCTCGCCGTAGGGGCCAATGTTGTCGCGTGGTTTTTTCTTTCCCCAAAGCGTGCGGCCTCTTTCAAACCCGCGACGCCGCGTCCTCGCGGACCGACGATGTCGTTACCACGCGCATCGCGTCGCGGTGGACGATCGACGCCCCCCGTGACGTGAGCGGCGCGTAAGTGTTTAATGAGGTTTACACGCCCGCAGGATTAACCGGCTTTCTAAAGAAAGGACTTTCAATCTGGATGATTTAAACGTGCATGACTCCCAGTGGCTTCCTTATATCAGAAGAGCGTTCCAGACGGCCGCATCGTCAGAATCACCACCATCATCAACGCCAACATCCCCCACTTCCTCATGCAGGTACCTCCTCAACATGACCATCAACATGACCACCGCCATCACCACCATCATGTATGTATGTTGAACTTCTATCGCACCGTACGTAGCCAACCGCGCTAATCGGAGCTGCGCGGGGGAAGGACAACAAACACTAAACACACTTAAAACGATGGTGGCGGGCACGAACCGCAAACCTCCGCAACAAGTCGGTGGAACCGCGCCTCCACCGCTCGGGCGGGAAGTCACAGGGGAGGGGGCAGAACGTGGGGACCTGCACCTGGCACCCGGCGCTCCTCTCTCGCTGCTGTGAAGCAATGCCCTCCGCAGTGCCAACTGAAGCAAGGCCCCCCAACCCACTCTCGTTAATTCTCGCAGCCCGCATGCTGCTGCTGCTGCTTGCACTCGCCCGCGATGCCTTGGCCTGCTTCGAGCCTCGCTCACCCCCCCTGCTCCTCCTCGTCACCCCTCTCATTATCCCTGTCAGCATCCTCATCGCCGTCACCAAGCACTCGACCACCCACCACCAACAACAAGAACACATCTCTCCCGATGGCCTTGTCATTGTTGTGGAATATGGTCAAACAACCCCCGTGGGGAGAGCCTCATACTGCACCTGCCATTAGCATGCTTGGCTACGTACGGTGTGAAAGAAGTTCAACACACACGCCTACATCAACGCAACGACTGACGTACAGAACATCGTCGACTTGTTAGGGCGACTGCTGTTGGCGAGCGCCTATTAAGGCCGACGGAGCATGCAAGGATTGTCGTGTGGCCAGCAGCCGTGCCCGGCAGCCTTTGTCTCTCCCGTGCTGATGTTGAAGCACCGCAACAGTCCACAACGACACCAACGCGACCAGCATCGTCGTGGTCGCCATCATCGTCGTCGTTGTCTAGGCAGCGGCTGGATTGGAAGTGATTTCCCACAACTCCCATTAGGATGGCTTGGCTAGGGAAGAGGTGCAAGGCCTGCACAACATCAAGTTGTTTTCATTTTCTTTTCCACGGCCGACCTCTCGACCCCTTACGTCTTCTTCCCTTCCGTTTGGCCCCAACTCGACGGGTGAAGCTTTGGGGTTGTTTGTCGTCTCTCCGAGTTCACGCGAACATCCCGTGGAGGTTTGTTTGGTCTTCTTGCCCGTTCTTGCTCCTTACCCTCCCCTCTGCTGTCCCCTCCTCTCTGCTCCCACGACGACGACGACGAATTCTTTCAAAATAAACAGCGGCCGTGGCTGCCTGGCTGGCGCAACGCGCGAATCTGACTCGTTCCAAAAGCTGAAAATAATAATAATGACCATGATGATGCATAACGAGCACATTAAAGTCAGAATTTCCTCGAAACCGTCGATAATTATGATTACTATGAAATGGCTTTTTAGGTCCCGTAGGAGGATAAACAGTGCCCTTGGAGATGTCAACACCCACAGGCAGCTGAGCTTTCAGAGGTGCTGGGCGGAGCAGGGCTGCTGCTGCTGCTGCCCAGCGTGTGTTGTTGTTGTTGTTGAATCTGCGTTCACCACACGTGTGCGGCTAAAGCGAAACACCGTCGCGTTTATTAGCGCTGTGACTGCGACGCTTTTTAGATTCATCTTCTTGGTTCTTTCGGTAAAGTCACGTAGAATGGAAATAATAAAATAATAAAAAGAAAACAATAAAATAATTCTCACGACGTTTCGGCCACAACGCAAGTAGCCGTCCTCAGGTGGAGAACAGGTCTGTCGAGGAGACAGTCATTCAGAATTATGTTATTATGTTTTTATTTTTATTATTTTATTATTTCCATTCTACGTGACTTTACCGAAAGAACCAAGAAGATGAATCCCTGAAGTCACGAAAGCTTTAAATCGAGCCTTTCAGATTGTCATGTTTTCTTCTTCGTGCATCAGGAGCTACAATAGGGGGGGGCAGGAGCGGGGGGGCTGCATCCACTGTGGGTAAGCGAAACCCCCTAAAAGATCACAAATGTGTGCGCTAAGCCAGGGTTCTTCATCGCAAGGGCCGCGGGTGACTGTCGGCCCCTGGTGGCCTTTCGTGCGGCCCGCGACAATACACACAATGAACAATACACACAATGAACAATACACACAATGAACAATACACACAATGAACAATACACACAATGAACAATACACACAATGAACAATACACACAATGAACAATACACACAATGAACAATACACACAATGACGCAAGGAGTGAAAACACTCCCCCTAAATAATAATCGTCGCGCTGTCAAAACCCCCCACTGGTTTGAAATGTGTGGCGGCCCTCACACTGACGATGTCTCATCGGCGTAAAGTGCCCTCCTCCCCCATGCCTCTGCAAACGAAGTGTAAGCACCGGGCGCGAGGCGGACACCCGCCGTGACGTTTGGACAAACCCGCCGTGACGTTTGGACAAACCCGCCGTGACGTTTGGACAAACCCGCCGTGACGCTCTGGCGCCTCGTGCGCTCCTGGCTGCGGCACGGGGACGCGAATGGCGGCGGTCGCGCCGAGACTTTAATGCGATTCTAAAAACGAATAGACACAAAAAAAACCCTCGGAGGTCAACGGCCGCCGGTAACGGCGGTGTGATGCGTGGCCTCACAAGGAGGAACGTTCTAAAGGGCAACTGTTTGTAGGACGATGGGCCCTTTCGTTTGTGCGCGCTATGAAGAAGGGCCATGGCCCGAAACGTCACCTATTTTTATATATATATTTTTTTCCTTTCAAGGCCAACGAGCGGCTCTATCCACGGACGCGTGGGGTTGTTTTGGTTTTTGTCGTTTGCGCGCCACGTGGGCGGCCGTCAATTGAATTCTCTCCCACCAGGGAGTGTTCGTAGTCCTACCCCCCCCTACCACCCCCCACCACCACCCCCCTACCACCCCCACCACCACCCCCCTACCACCCCCCCACTTATTTGTGGCCCCGGAGCAACCGATATTTGCTCTGGTTTAGGGGGTACAAAAAAAAGAAATTGGCTACATTTGGTGAGGACGAAAGTTAGGCCCAAAACAACACGGAGAGTGAAACAACACGGGGAGCGTGCCACCGACGGACCCCGCCCCCCGCCGTTGGTGAAAGTGTCACCGCTCAAGGCTTTCTCCGTTTGCGCGATGGAAGAGTCAGAATTTGTTTAAAGCAAAACGTGAAAAAAGGGCTGTACAGATATTTTGTAGAGTGAGCCACAATGTTCCCGAACATTGATGTTGGGGAACTAATCTTGATTCAACGCGAGTGAACATTCGGGAGATGACACACACACGGGGGGGAGGGGGTGACGCTGTGGGCAGTGCAGGACCTCCCATTGTTGCACTGCACTCCTATATTCCCACGGTCCCTGTTCCCTGCCTACACCGACCTCCACTGACGAGCGAGGTGAAGTATGGTCAAATAACCCCCCCCCCGACCCGCCCGGTGTGGGTGGGGCCCATCCCAAGCGGCGCATGTCAGTGCTGTACGCGTGCACGCATGTCAGCCGGTCAAGGCGCAGCCCTGCAAGTGCTCTCTCTCGCCACTGCTGGCGGATGGGCCTCCCATGCGCGCGAGCTCCAGAGGGTACTCGGCCTCTACTCTTCTGCGCTGACCACGCGTGCTGGGAGAGGGGGGGGGAGTCATCCAGCAGTGGATTGACTAAAGGGGCGCTCCCATAGAAGCAGTGGTTACACTCAGCCGCGCTCTGCCTTGCCACGGAAACCTCTTCCCCCCCTCCCTCTCCCCCTCCCCTCCTTGTCCCGATTCGTTCCGGAGTTTTTTTTTTATATTTCTGCTCGTTAAGCCCGGCTTGCTGGTTAAAAACAAATAAAAACCAAACTATTGGAACACAACGCGTCTGTCCGCTCGCTCGCTCGCTCCTCGACGGGAATGAAACTATGTTGTAACACGACTTTGGTTCCTGGGTACTAAGTGTTGTTTTCTAATTGCTTATGCCTCAAAAGTACAGAAAATTGGCGATTATTAGCCACTAACTTTGCTTTTGTGACCAGGACTTTATGTGAACGAATGACACATGCACACCAAGTTTTCTCTTTGAAAATAGGAACATTTCTAAATATGACTGTCCTGGTCACAAAAGCAAAGTTTGTGGGGAATAATAGCCACTTTCTGTACTTTTGAGGCATAAGAAATTAGGAAAATAACACTTAGTACCCAGGAACAAGAACGAAATGTGTTACACTGTGAATTATTTCGTGGGTAAAAGAGAGACGGAAACTAGAAAAAGAAACCGGAGCGCCAATTTAAAGTGGAAACCCACCGAGTTTATTTTTTCGGGCCCACGTCGTAGAGAATCACAAAAAGGTGCCGACGGCTGGGCCCGGTTCACAGAGGGAGGCCACGGCGATGCCGGTCCACTCGGCCCGGGTCACTGTCGCGAGCGAGACTCGTCAGGGCCTCTCGGGCTGTATCCAGTAGCGTCACTAGCGTGGTGAAGTATGGTCACCTGTAGTGTAGCTGGCGTGGTGAAGTATGGTCACCTGTAGTGTAGCTGGCGTGGTGAAGTATAGTCACCTGTAGTGTAGCTGGCGTGGTGAAGTATGGTCACCTGTAGTGTAGCTGGCGTGGTGAAGTATAGTCACCTGTAGTGTAGCTGGCGTGGTGAAGTATGGTCACCTGTAGTGTAGCTGGCGTGGTGAAGTATGGTCACCTGTAGTGTAGCTGGCGTGGTGAAGTATGGTCACCTGTAGTGTAGCTGGCGTGGTGAAGTATGGTCACCTGTAGTGTAGCTGGCGTGGTGAAGTATGGTCACCTGTAGTGTAGCTGGCGTGGTGAAGTATGGTCACCTGTAGTGTAGCTGGCGTGGTGAAGTATGGTCACCTGTAGTGTAGCTGGCGTGGTGAAGTATGGTCACCTGTAGTGTAGCTGGCGTGGTGAAGTATGGTCACCTGTAGTGTAGCTGGCGTGGTGAAGTATGGTCACCTGTAGTGTAGCTGGCGTGGTGAAGTATGGTCACCTGTAGTGTAGCTGGCGTGGTGAAGTATGGTCACCTGTAGTGTAGCTGGCGTGGTGAAGTATGGTCACCTGTAGTGTAGCTGGCGTGGTGAAGTATGGTCACCTGTAGTGTAGCTGGCGTGGTGAAGTATGGTCACCTGTAGTGTAGCTGGCGTGGTGAAGTATGGTCACCTGTAGTGTCGCTAGCGTGGGGGGCAGGTGGGGGGTGCCTTGCCCCCCCTGGTGGCCACAGCTACGAGCTGGGGGGCCCCTCTTGACAACCACTATGATGACATTTGTTTTCAACAACAGCAGCAGTGGAAAAGAAAAACAACAACAACAACGCTCCATGTAATTATTTTAAAAGGCAAGAGGAGCCGCGATATATGTTAGCCTGGATGCGACCATGCGACACAAATACAATATTGAGCTGATAATGTTACTGCGCCACGGAGTTGTGTGTACGTTGAACTTCTTTCGCGCCGTACACAGCCGACCGTGCTAATCGGAGGTGCGGGAAATGAACTTGAGAAGCCCTGGTGACACGAAGAAAATCTTACAAAGTCGACCTGGCCTAGGACCAAGCCACTCGGAATGCGCCCCCCTCTCATCAGATCTCAGCCGCAGAATAAAGTTGCGGGGGATTTGCCCGATTGAAAACCGGCCACGTTCATGAAAGGGTTGCCCAAAGATTGAAGACAAAAAGCCAGCGCAAAAAAAAACACGTTTACAAACATGCGAACGCAAATTAGCCATTCTCGGTTTTTGGTCTGCTAATTAAATACTTCCGAAGACAAAAGCAGTTTGTAAACGCGTTGCGTCATCCATAATTTTTGCCTAATTTGCTTTTGGAGTTTTATTTCGTCCCATGGGTTTGAAATCTGCCCGATGATTTCCCCGAATGCACGCTTGCTGGCTCGTAATTGCTGTGGGCCGTTGTATAAATACTTTGCCGTTTGCCAATGGCTATAATAGTTTGTTTGTTTTTTGAGATTGAGAAGAATAAAACAAAATGCGCTAAATTTTAATATCAACAGAAGTAATTGAGCAAATCGGCCACTTTTTGGCAGCATACTGACTGCAGAGATTCGACAAATTTTTAGCCATTGACCAAACATGATAATCGGTGCGTAATTAAAACTTGATTTGAAGCTTTCGTGACTGCAGGAATTACTCTTTGGTTCTTTCGGTAAAGTCACGTAGAAAGAAAATAAATTAAATAATAGAGTACGACGTTTCAATTGCAACACACACAACCGTCATCAGGTAGAACTAAATTTGAGAGAGACAAAACACAAACACGGAGACGCACAGACAAACACACAAGCAGAGAGAGAGACAACACAGATACACAGAGAGAGAGACACACAACATAGACACACAGAGAGCCAATGCCTCCAAGGCCTTAAATCGAGAGAGAGGGGGCCTCGAAAAAGAGCCATTGGGTGTCTCTGTGTGTCTATGTTGTGTGTCTCTCTGTGTCTCTGTGTTGTCTCTCTCTGCTTGTGTCTGTCTGTGTGTCGACGTGTCTGTGTTTTGTCTCTCAAATTTAGTTCTACCTGATGACGGTTGATTGTGTTGCAATCGAAACGTCGTATTCTAGTAATTAATTAATTTTCTTTATACGAACCAAAGAGTGGTGCGTAATTGCAACCTGGTACGTCTCACGTACGACTTTTCCACTGCGCAACCGAGCCATGCCAAGCCAGCCCCGCACGGATCAGGAGACGCTAGGTTGCTTTTCCACTGCAAATCCTGAACCCGTGCTGCCGACTTCGCAATCAATGAACGAGTTGAGCCGCGTGCAGACGAGGCAGCGGCGCTTCGTGCTCGCAGTGCGCGCCGACTTGACGTCACACGAATGGACGCTATTGGGTAGCCACTGGCTCTATGCACTCTTAAATGTAAAACTGCTTGTTTGTGTTAAGTTTGTTGTCTTTCCCCCGCACCTCCAATGAGCACGGTTGGCTACGTACGGTGCGAAAGAAGTTCAACACACGTACGTACATACAACGCTTGCGACCCGAGCCAAATTTCAAATCGGTCTTGTGAGGCCAATGTATCACGGTTTGCTTCAGGCTCGGCTCGGTAAACAGCACCGAGAGGGCCCTCAAGCTGGCTCGGCTGGGACGCAGCAGTGGAAAAAATGAGTCCAGTGGAGGGGGCACTTTCGCGGATTAGACATCGTCAGTGTTGAGGGTTGCCACACGTTTGAACCATTGGGGGGTTGACAGCAGCACGATGACGATGATGATGGGGGTGGGGTGGTGTTGTCACGTGGTGTGTATTGTCGGGGGCCGCACTAAAGGCCGCCAGGGGCCGCCAGTGGCTCGCGGGACCTCGCAATGAAGAAGCCTGGCTTACAGTGACACCCTGGGGAACATCTCGACAGGCCGTTTATAAACTCGACTGGCGCTAGCAGAAGGACACCGGGCGCCACGGTGGCGAGATGTTAACTACCTCGCCGGGTGTACAGGAGGTCGTGGGTTCGATGCCGACCCTGACGCCTGCTGCCGTATATTTGGAGTTTGCGTCTCTCTCCCCGTGGTCACGTGGATATTTCTCCGGGTCCTCCGGTTTTTCCTCTCTACGTTGAGAATCAACATCACGCGTTCAGAGTAATTGGCTGCTATAAAATTCCACACGATAAGCCCCTTCGTTGAGATATCATTTGTGGTGGCCAGCTCGCTTCTGAAAAAGAGCTACATAGTTCAGTGGGCCTTACCTGGTAATATAAACAACAGTTGAGTTTACTCCAGGAAACTATTTGCATTTTGCAGAGCGTTCTCTGATGGGCCTACTACTCTTCCAAGTTGGCCAGACGTCTTGGGATAGACCAGGGGTGGACAAGCTTTCAAGGAAGAAGTGCCACGTGCTTTTGTCTTTGTCATTGACCAAAATAGTTCGAGAGCCGCATCACACGCAGAGCTGGTAAAATAAAGATAAAGTTTAGTTGAGTTTTCTAAATTCTGCATCTCTGAGCGGCGGTTGTCGTTTACCCGTCAATTAGTGAACCCTGCCCTCTGTGCACACATCTCGGGGGAGAATCATTTTCCGGCTTGGGTCACCAAAATAATTCACCCTCGCCCTGCTCCTCAGACACAGGGCACAGGGGCACGGAGTGGGACGGAGGCGCCCAGGTCAAGTGATGCAGCCAAGCCAATCGGAGTTGAAGAAGCCCTGGTGTGTCAGTGTCCGCCCGTCGTACTGCCAGATGCGGTGGCCTTTGATAAAATACGCCAGACCTAGAGCAGCAGAACACAAACACGCACAAAGACAAAGATCCCCCGTGTAGCCTGTCACAAGGACAAGTGCTGTTAGCGAGCAGCACCTATGAAGGCCGGCACAGCACACGAGGGGGTGGGTGGCCATCACAACGCCCACCTGCCTTTGTCTCGCCAGTGCTGGTATTGACCGTACCAAGTACTCATTTAAGGCTGGGTTGACCTAGGCGAGGCCCATAACCAGTTCAGATATTTGCCGCTGTCATTGGTCGTTAGCGGGAATCGAACTCGGGTCACCAGGATCGTAGTGCAGGGCGCGAGCCACAATACTACCGCTCCTCTAAGACAAATACAGAGATGCCCCATATAGTCTTTAGCAGACTGTTGGGGCAAGTGCCGTCAGCTATGAAGGCCCGTACGCCACACGAGGGCGTGGGTGGCCAACACCACGCGCGGCTGCACGTGCATCCTCGGTGCCGATGTTTACACACCGCACCAGGCACTCATTTGAAGCTGAGTCGACCTAGGGGAGGCCCAGAACCGGTTCACACAATTGTCCCTAGTGTTGGCCGTGAGCGGGAATCGAACTCAGGTAGCCGGGTTTTTAGCTCAGCGCATCCTAACCTCTACACGACACACGCAGACATTCATATTCTCACATCATCTTACAATGGGAGCTGCCAAATAAAAATTGCAAGCCAAAGGTCGTCGATTCGATTCCCTCTCGTGGCGCTGACTAAATGGGTTCACCGTGTGGTGGGGTAAAGTGTGCGCACTCCCACCTCTTCAAACACACACCACCCTCTGGAGGGCAGAGCACACATAGTCACATACCCTCCAGAGCAGTGCTGCTTAACCTTTACTGCAGCCTTGCACCCCTCTGGTTCTCAACCGTAAACAGATTGTACAACGTCAATAACAAATACACAGAGTTTGATGAAACAAAGTAGTTGTTACTTGCGTGCCTCGTGCTTAATTTGTGTTTTCAATGATTCACCTTCTAAACAAACCTGGCCATGTCTCGCACCACCAGAAAGGGCACCTGGCACCCCGCGGGGCTGCGTGAACCCCAGATTAGAGACCCCTGATATCGAGGGTGGATCACACCCCCCCCCCCCGTAGAGCAGCAGTTACCAACCTTTGAGTGTGCGGACCCCTTTTAAACCCCCAAACATTTCGCTGACCACCACGCGCTACCACTGCTGCTGCTGCTGCTGCTACTCGTAGTGATTTGAAATTGGACATTTCCTCGGCTGGGATGCGATTTTTATTTTGCGCGGACCCCTCCTCCCCCACCGCCCGGAGTAGCCTCGCGAATCGCCCGGCGTCCACTGGTTGGGGACCGCTGGTCTCGAAGAGTTGACCTCGAATGAAGGCAGTGGTGTGATCAAGCAGTTTCAGGGCTGCACCTTTACCTTTGCATGTGTGCGTGTGTGTGTGTGCTGGCAGTACAGCAAGTAGATACATTTCCATCTGTACAGCGATTGAGTGTTACCGCCCTTGGCACACACGCGAGTTTTCTCCAGGTGCTCCGGTTTAGCTCGCACGTGCGTAAACACTCGTTCGTTTACGAAACATTGAAGTCGTGGGCTGCAGAGTACGGCCAATGGTTTGGTGCCAGTTCTGGCCGCATTCGCCGCTTGCCTGCGATTTCCCCCACACCTCCGACTTGTCCTGAGAGAGTGAGACTCCGACCAGCACGCGTTGCAAATTACCCTGCGTGTCTTTTGTCACGCACGGCAGGAAACGATTAGCACGGCTGGCTGTCTGCGGCGCGAATTGGGTTCGGTATGCGTGCGCACAAACCTACCGTCGCGCTCGAAAGCGGCGTCTATCGAAGCCGGGAGGCCGGAGAACGTCGCCCGGATCCTGCGCGGCGATCCGGGCTGCATCGTCTTCATCTCAGAATCGTACCTGCACAAACCGCCCGAGCACAGAGACACATCTGGCCAAGCTCGAAAAGCCATTTAGTTCACGACTCGGGGCATTGAGGCAGCTCCCTGTCAACATGATAACAACACGGAACGCGGGTCTGTCCCAGCGCCAAGGATGTATCACGCCGAGACTCACCAGACTACGGCGATATTCCAAAATTACCTACCCACCCAATCACCCGCTCAAGCACCGACCCACCCATCCGATCACCCACCCACCCAAACATTTTTTTAGACTAATTTTTGTATTTAGTTTGTTGTCCTTCCCCGCACCTCCAATTAGCACGGTTGGCTACGTACGGTGCTAAAAAGGTTAACATACGTAAGTACACACAACATACATACAACGTGCGAGATATCTGAACGGGTCCTGGGCTCACTCCTCACCGACCCGCACTGACTGGTGTGGTGAAATATGGTCAAACAAACCCCCTCGACTAATCCGGCAAGAGGAGGCCTTCATAGATTTCAAACAACTCCCAGAAACGTGCACAAGAGGCGCTCGGGCACCCGCGCCTTATGCACAGACCATCAACAGCCCCTGAAGAACCGCATCGTTGGTCATCCTTGTCTTCGGTCACCGTCAAATACATTTGAGCAAACGTGACCGTCTGACAGGCGTACCGGAACATCTGTGGAAACGAGATTTATAGCTCATTGGATTCCTCCAGTGTGACCAAATATTCAGATTCTGATCATGCACGAAGGCCGAGTGCTCTTTGCAACAAGGCCGAGTGCTCTGGACAACTAAAATCAGTTTGTCAATATAGACGATGATGATTTAAAAGTGCATAGCTCCAAGTGGCTTCTAATATCGGAAGGAAGAGCATTCCAGACGGCCGCAGAAGCGCATCTGAAAGTGCCGCGCGATGATTCGGTGACAGCCTTTGTTCATCCTCGCCTCGTGGCGAGGATGACCGGAGTTCACGTGATGGTGGTCGATGCTCCTTGATGAGAGACGCTTGGCGAAAGGTGAGAAATACGTGTGGCAGGGAAAGGTGAGATACGGTGAGATACGTCTGGTGGTGAAGGGTGACGTCTGATGGGGAGGGTGACGTCTGATGACAAAGGGTGACGTCTGATGGGGAAGGGTGACGTCTGGTGGGGAAGGGTGACGTCTGGTGGTGAAGGGTGACGTCTGGAAGGGTGACGTCTGGAAGGGTGACGTCTGACGGAGACCTCCAGAGCAGGTGTCCCGAGAACACGAGGTGGCTCTGCCAGCGGCGGCTGTAGAAGGCGGCGTCGACGTGGACGGGGCCCTCCGCTCCGTCGGCTACCGGCAGCGGCCTCGGAGCGGCCCCCACGAGGCGCCCTCCGGAGAACCTCCAGGTCAGCGAGCCTGGGGCCACACGTCACGTGGCTGGGTTAGCGGCCTTAGATTCTTGAACGCGCCGATTTATTTTTCTTCTTTTAAAGACGCTACGCGGGAAAAGCATTGAGTGCATGTTTACGCGAGTTTACGGGTCTCAAGGTGAGTCTATGGGTCTCTATGTGAGTCTATGGGTCTCTATGTGAGTCTATGGGTCTCATTGTGAGTCTACGGGTCTCAAGGTGAGTCTATGGGTCTCTATGTGAGTCTATGGGTCTCTATGTGAGTCTACGGGTCTCTATGTGAGTCTATGGGTCCCTATGTGAGTCTATGGGTGTCTATGTGAGTCTATGGGTTTCTATGTGAGTCTTTGGGTCTCATGTGGGTCTATGGGTCTCTATGTGAGTCTACGGGTCTCAATGTGAGTCTATGGATCTCATTGTGAGTTTATGGGTCTCTTTGTGAGTCTATGGGTCTCATTGTGAGTCTATGGGTCTCTATGTGAGTCTATGGGTCTCTATGTGAGTCTACGGGTCTCAAGGTGAGTCTATGGGTCTCATTGTGAGTCTACGGGTCTCAAGGTGAGTCTATGGGTCTCATTTTGAGTTTACGAGTCTCTATGTGAGTCTATGGGTCTCATTGTGAGTCTACGGGTCTCAAGGTGAGTCTATGGGTCTCTATGTGAGTCTATGGGTCTCTTTGTGAGTCTATGGGTCTCTGTGAGTCTTTGGGTCTCTATATGAGTATGGGTGTCTATTGGTCTCTGCGTGATTCTATGGGTTTATATTTGTCTGTGAATCTCACGGATCTCTTAAGTCTGCGGGTTTCTGTGTGAGTTTGCAGGTCTGTGTTTATGTCTATGTGTCTCTATATGAGTCAGTGCTTCTCTACGTGAGTCAAGATATATTTACGTGAGAAAAGCACTGATGATGAAGCTATTACTATGAATCTTGATTGGAAGCTTTCGTGACTGCAGGAATCCATACTCTTTGGTTCTTTCGGTAAAGTCACGTGGGTAGAAAACGACAAGCTGCTGTAGGTGGAGTAAATATTAATTAATGCAGTGATTAACCATGTTTATTTTAGTATTGTGTTAGTATTGTGTTGTGTTGTTAGTATCTTTATGCATTAATATCCATTGTTTAAATATTAAAATGTACGTTTTTGGGGCGAAAATGGTAACGTTCGATGTTTTCGCTTCACGACCGGATCACTTCACGACTGGTTTCGTGGAACCAATGGCCGTGCTTGAGAGGGAGGGGGGGGGCTCTGTCATAATAATAACAATACTGACAACAGCACTGCCGAGGGGCACAGCGCAGTGAGCAATGCTCGGGGTGGCGCTGGCGAACCTGCGTAGAGGGTCACGTCGTCGGCCCCGGGGCCTCCGCTGGCCGCCTGCACCGCGGGGGGTGCCCCTGGCCAGCGCCGCGCGATGGGGAACGGCCCCCTGGGGACTCCCCCGGGACCCACGAGCTCCCAGCAGAGGCTGGCGACGGCGGAGGGGCGGTGGGAGACACGCGGGGAGGGTCCGTCAACACCGAGGTGTCTACAAAGCGGTGCGTGAAGGTGCGCTGTGCAGGCGTCACTTGATCGTTACAATAGCCACTTTTAAATCACTGAAAAGCCATTTCTTTAGAAGAGTTGGTTTTGTGCGTGTGTTGAGTTTGTTGTTCTTCCCCCGCACACCGCCGGTGAGCGCGGTTGGCTCCGTACGGGCACGGAAGGAGTAAGATGCCGATGGCAACGCGTCCCACCGGGCACTCGGGTCCAGGTTGCGAAGACCCAGTGGAAGCCCGGCACCGGTTCAGATATTCGTCATTGATGTTGGCCGCGAGTGGGAATTGAACTCGGGTGCGAACCTGAACAGGGTGTGAACCTGAACAAGTTCACACCCATCCAGTGTGAACCTGAACAAGTTCACACCCATCCAGTGTGAACCTGAACAAGTTCACTCCCGTCCAGCGTGAACCTGAACAAGTTCACACCCATCCAGCGTGAACCTGAACAAGTTCACACCCATCCAGTGTGAACCTGAACAAGTTCACACCCATCCAGTGTGAACCTGAACGAGTTCACACCCATCCAGTGTGAACCTGAACAAGTTCACACCCATCCAGCGTGAACCTGAACAAGTTCACACCCATCCAGTGTGAACCTGAACAAGTTCACACCCATCCAGTGTGAACCTGAACAAGTTCACTCCCGTCCAGCGTGAACCTGAACAGGACGTGAATTGAGGATCACGAATCCACACGTGGACTTGCTTGACCAGACAATTTATTTTCCGAGTTACCAACAGAGCAAACCGCTATGTTGAGGGATCGTCAATTCATAGCGGGAGTCGTTGCAAACTCTGCATAATGTCCTCGTCCCAGCGAGCCGCTAGATTTGGCGCGACAACTTAAGGCGCTTGACACGATGAGGCACCATTCGAGTCCTTATCTACGGCTCACTGCGTGACTATGCGTGTGGTAAAGTAGTCGTCGTGGGAAACCCAAAAACCGCTGCAAAGTTGGCAAAACCGGTGACAAGGGGGAACGTTGGCGGGGTAGTGAGGAGGGGAGTGGTGGGGAGAGCCCGACCCTCACCTGCCCTTGAAGACGATCGTCGTCTCTCCGCGCTGGACCGCGGCCCCGACGGCCACGGCGCCGTCGCACAAGCCGGGCCCCTCGGACCCCTCGGGGCCCTCGCGCCGGGCACTCGCGTCGTCCGTGGCGGCGGCGACCCGCAGCTCCCCTGTCCGCACGGCGAGGGCGAATCGGATCGTCGGTCTCCTTCATCCGTTTGGTTTTATTTTGTCTCCGCCAGTCAAGACGAGCACGGGGGGCGCCAAAGTTTAATATCTGGGTGGCGGTGACCTTCGCGACCTTGGTGACCTTTGCGACCTCTCTTACCGTAAAGGTCACGGACGGCGCTCTCGTCGGCGGGGCTGAGCCGGAAGTTGCGGCGGTACGAGAGGATGGGGAAGGCGGCGGCCCCGGGCTGCTGCGAGTGGCCCAGCCCCAGCGCGTCGCCCACGGCGTGCACCAGCGCCAGGAAGAGGCTGAGGCCTGTGGCGGCATCAGGGGGGCCCGGCGGGCGTTAGGGACGCGTCGAAGTCTACACGCCGATCCCCACGCCCGCGACACGCGCGCACGACGTCGCACCTAACGATGGATCTTGTTTATATTATTTAGATTATTTGGCTGATATAAATGTCCGCATGATGAGCCACTTCGTTGAGCTATCATCGGTGGCCAGGTCGCTTCTGAAGAAGAAGCTAATGGCTCAGTGGGCCTCACCTGGTTAATATATTTTGTGATTTATTTACTATGCCTAGACTTTGCACTCCTATCGTGTTGTTGTATTGTTTGTTGTTGTAACATTCTGACCCCGTGCCCGTACTGGATATCTGTGAAAAAGTGGTTCAAAGTTCAGTGGGGCCTTACCTGGTTAAACAACAATAGTTTAGTTTAACATGGCAATTGGCACGTTCTGTTTAGTGGCAACTCTTACTAGTTGGCCGTGTCGGGTGGTCGCGGGTTTTAACGACACGTTTATATATTTACGCGATCTTACCCAAAAGCATTTATTATGAATAATATTGGTCGCGAAAGCCTATGTGTTAAACAGTTTAGTTGAAAACAAAATAGCTTAGTTTAGTTTTTAGTTTAAACATAGTTTAGTTTAAACACGCTACTGTTGGGCCATGTCGCCCTTCCAAATAAAATACATTGGCCATCTGTGAAAAGAGAGGCTCAGCGCTCACCGGATTCCTCCAGCGAAGGAGGTCGCCGTTGCCTTCGGCGTCGTTGCTTCTTCAGTTTTTTTTACCCCCCCCCCCCCCAAAAAAAAGAACGTGAAGCAATACCGGCGGCGGGGCAGAGGCCCCACTTGCGGTGGGCGTCGTAGCTGCCCGTGGTGGCGCACCACAGCCGCCCGTCGGCGCGACCCTCCGCCGTGCACGTCTCATAGCTCCGCCCCAGGAATCGGAAGGGGAAGACGCACGGAGCGCCGTCCGCATTGCCCCCCACCGTGGTCAGGGCTAGGCGGTGGGAGGGGGGGGCACACGCCGCACGCGAATACGTGACAGCCTTCTGGACGTTGCTAAAGCCACTTACCACTTACCCCCCCCCCCCCCCCCCCCCCCGCTGCAGGTAAAACGTATTCTTGTTTTTATTCAACATCTGTGGGAAAAAAAGCTTCGTTGCTCATCGGATTTCTCCGGGATGAATAAAGATTCTGATAATGCATGAAGGACACGAGCTCTTTGCAAACGTGACCGAGTGTTGTTTGAAAGGAATGGGTTTTTTTAGGCCTGCGTTGTGCGCTGTCTGAAACGATGAATTTCATTATAAAAAAATCTCCAAATTATAATTTGCGCTCTGTCCTGTGGACTGATGATGGCATGTGTACGCACGTTGAACTTCGTTCGCGCCGTACCTAGCTAACTGTGCTAATCGGAGGTGCTCTCACCGGAGGGCGGGCAGAAGCCGTACTTGTGGTCGGCGTCGTAGTTGGCCGTGGTGGCGCACCACCGCTCAGCGTCGTCGCGGCCAGCCGAGGTGCAGGCGCTGTACTCGCGACCGCCGTACACGAAGGGGAAGACGCACGGGGCCCCCTCTCCGTTACCGTCCACAGTGAACGCCTCTGGGGGCGATGGAGGCGGCAGGGTTAGGGTCAGTCCAGCTGAGTGTGGGTGGTTAGGAGATGTTAGTTACCTCGCCTGGTATGCAGGAGATCGTGGGTCTGATCTTGACCTTGACGACGCCTGCTCTATATTGAAGAGTTTGTCGTGTCTCTCTCTCTCTCTCTCTCCCCATGGTCGCGTGGATTTTTCTCCGGGTTCTCCGGTTTAATACTCCACATGTAGAGTTATCAGCACTCGTTTAGAGTTTTCGGCTGCTAAAAATTTCCGTTTATAAGCCACTACGCTGAACTATCATTTGTGGCCAGGTCGCTTCTGAAAACGAGCTACACAGCTCAGTGGGCCAAACGCGGTAACAACAAATAAATAAATAATGATGCAATTTGTAACGCGCGCAAATTTGCGAACGTAACGACCGCAACTCAGAGGCGCGGAGCCAAGCTCAGAGTCTCTCTCTCGAGAGAGCACGTGGTTGTCGAGGTGAGTCTTTAAGTGTCTCTTGAAGGAGATGATTGAGGCGATGCTGCGAATGTGCAGAGGGGATGGCGTTCCAGATTGTGGGGGCAGCCACCGAGAAGCGGCGCATGGAAGTTTTAGTTTTAGACAGGATCCGGAACGTATAGACCACGCACCATCTGCCTGGTCTATACGGTTAACACACCCACAATAAAGATATCTTGTTAATATCGCATGAATGTAAATGTGTCGTTAATCCACCACCACCCAACACGGCCAATTCGTCACGTCTGCTATCGCTTCGGCACAATCGGTGTGACGGCGGGGAAACCCACGACGTTTACAATTGAGAAATAATATCGGTCGCAAAAGCCGACGTGTTAGATTGTAGGTCTGCTCACCCCTCACCTGGTACACAGCGCAGCCGCGTCGCTACGGCTCATTGCGACGGGTGACCCGCAAGCTGGATCGCGCCACTAGCTGCAGTGGACTCGCGTGTTGTTAAACAAAAGCTTTCATGAAACACAACGTGTACAAACGTATGTACGGTGAACGTCTTTTGCAACGTACATAGCCAACGGCGCTAATCGTAGGTGCTGGGTGGGCGGACAACAAAACCGAAACTATCCTTGATGGGGAAGCGAGGTCCCCGTCCGGGAGACACGGCGTTAACCAGGACGCACCGCGGCATTCACTGGAGCGTCCTCCGCGATTCGAACCGCGAACCTCTGCAGCGACCGAGCGGGCGGCTCACCCTCGTGAGGACAGAAGCCGAAGCGGCGGTCGCGGTCGTAGTCGTCGGTGGCCGAGCACCAGGGCAGGCCGTCGTCGCGGCCCGACGCGGTGCACGTGTGGAAGAGGCGGCCCCCGAACGTGAACGGGAAGATGCAGAAGTCGCCATGCGCGGTCCCGAACCGCGTCTTCACCACTACAGCCACACACACACGCACACACGCACACGCTCACACGCACACACGCACACACGCACACGCTCGCACACGCGCACACGCTCGCACACGCACACGCTCGCACACGCACACACGCACACGCTCGCACACGCACACACGCACACACGCACACATTTAGAATCAGCATCATCAGCATCACGCGTTTAGAGCATTTGGCTGCTATAGATTTCCACGTGATGATGATAAGCCACTTCGTTGAGCCATCATTTGTAATCACCAGGTCGCTTCTGATAAAGAGCTACCCAGCTCAGTGGGCCTTACGTGTTAAAATACCAAAAAATAGTTTAGTTTTAGTTGAACATGCTGGGCCACAGCGAACGTTGTGGGTGAGCACGGCCCCAGTCCCGGCAAACCGAACCTCGTCCCTCGCCGAACGTCCAAAACTCGTCGTCGTCCACGTGGATCTGCACTCCGTCGCGCGAGTCGCCCTGCGAGTGGGACACCACGCCGCCCGGCCCGTCAAACGGCCGCCCGTCCCCGTGGTCTGTGGCAGGGCACGCGCCGTCACCGCCAGCTGGACACGGGGCAGGCTTCGCGAGCAACATCGTTCATGATGATGTTTGTTGGGTTAGATCGCGTGAAGTGTAAATGTGTCGTAACCCTCCACCACCCGACACAGCCGGTGAGGTTTGTCACGTGAACCACGCGCCAATCAGCTACTACTTCAGCCCACCGGCGTGTTGGAGAGTAAATCCACAATGTTTAAAATGTAAATACGACGTTTCGCTGCTAATTACATCCAGCATCTTCGGGCGATTTTTCAGAATAGTGAAGCAATCCACCTGCTTCCGGTCTTAAAAAGAGCAGGACGACGTCATCCCTGAACCCATCAGGTTAACCTTCTTGTCTCTCTCTGTCTCTTTCTGTCTCTGTCTCTCGCTCTGTCTCTCGCTCTGTCTCTCTGTCTCTCTCTGTCTCTCGCTCTCTCTGTATCTCTCTGTCTCTCGCTCTCTCTGTCTCTCTCTGTCTCTCGCCCTCTCTCTCTCTCGCCCGCCTGCGCGTTTCACCATTTCCAACTGGAGTTGAAAATCTGCGTCCCCGTTGAGCCTCCCAGGAACGTGGCTGGCGTCTTACTCTCGCGGCCCACGTCACAAACTAAATCATCATCGGGCGCAATTGCCCGATGATGCTGGATGTCATTACCGCCGAGACGTCGTACTCCCATTGTCACGCGCCGTGCGGCGTCTCATCGTACGGCCTGCGACGTAACATTGACGCTTATTGAACACTTGCCATGGGGAAACCTTTTTGGAAAGCAATACAAAATTCTGTGCGTGTGCGTGATTTTTCTTCCCTTAAACAAATACCTCCCGCAGTTTTATCCTGATTGTGCGATTGAATAAATAAAAATATTAAAAAGCACCGTTAAGACACTTTCCCAGCCAAAACCACATCGTGACCCCAACCCTTTGCGCTCCAACCCGTGACCCCCTGTGCCCTCTGACCCTTGGTGTGGAAGCTGATGGAGATGTCCGGCCGCTGGCCGTGGGGCGCCGGACTGAAGCGGAGAAGCGACGGGGACGACCAGACCGCCATGGCACGCGCCACCATGCCCTCCACGACGGCCCGCTCCAGGTCGCCCGTCTCGCCAACCACCCTGCCCGCAACACGGCCCAATACATAATTAGTCTTGAAATCTTTTACCTTTAGCAGGTAAGGCCAAACTGGTGTGTAGCTCTTTTTCAGAAGCGAATTGGCCATCACAAATGAGAGGTGGCTTATCATAAGCATAATCATGTGGACGTTTATAGCAGCAAAATACTCTGAGAACGAGGGATGTTGATTTTAAACGTGAAGGGAAAAACAGGAGGGACCCGGAGAAAAATCATCGCGACCACGGGGAGAGAGACACACAAACTCCAAATATATAGGAACGAACCCACGACCTCCCGTGTACCAGGCGATGGAGGTAACATCTCCTAGCCACCGTGGTCATGGTGAGAGAGAGACATACACATTCCAAATACACAGCAGGTGTCAGGGTCGGGATCGAACCCACGACCTCCTGTAGACCAGGCGAGGGAGGTAACATCTGCCAGCCTACCGCCACACGGCCGACGGAAGGGCAGCGGCGTCCTGGCTGAGCCTCCTAGAAGCGTGGCTCCCACGCGCCCCCTGCCCCCCCCCTCTCACCTGTAGGTGAGTTCAGTGCCCCCTGCCCCCCCCCTCTCACCTGTAGGTGAGGTCAGTGCCCCCTGCCCCCCCTCTCACCTGTAGGTGAGTTCAGTGCCCCCTGCCCCCCCTCTCACCTGTAGGTGAGGTCAGTGCCCCCTGCCCCCCCCCCTCACCTGTAGGTGAGGTCAGTACCCCCTGCCCCCCCCTCTCACCTGTAGGGGAGGTCAGTGCCCCCTGCCCCCCCCTCTCACCTGTAGGTGAGGTCAGTGCCCCCTGCCCCCCTCTCACCTGTAGGTGAGTTCGGTGCCCCCCTGCCCCCCCCTCTCACCTATAGGTGAGGTCAGTGCCCCCCCTCTCACCTATAGGTGAGGTCAGTGCCCCCTGCCCCCCCCTCTCACCTGTAGGTGAGTTCGGTGCCCCCCTGCCCCCCCCTCTCACCTATAGGTGAGGTCAGTGCCCCCTGCCCCCCCCTCTCACCTGTAGGTGAGTTCGGTGCCCCCCTGCTCCCCCCTCTCACCTATAGGTGAGGTCAGTGCCCCCCCCTCTCACCTGTAGGTGAGGTCAGTGCCCCCCCTCTCACCTGTAGGTGAGCTCGGTGCGAGGCCACACGCGCTCGATCCCCGGCGGGGAGCCCGCCTCGTCCACCTCCCCGCAGCGCGGCAGCGCCATCGCGTCGAGCGTGGCGCGGTCCAGGGCGGCCCCGGCGCTCGCCGCGACGCCCAGACGACTCCGCATCCTGCGCAGGGCGTCGGCGAAGCGGCGGCCCTCCGGCGCTCCTCCCTCGTCGCTGCCGTAGTAGCCGAAGTCCCGCAGGTAGCGCTGCGGTGCGTCAAGGGGAGAGGGGGGCGACCGGCGGTCGTGGGTTATCGTCGTCGTCGTCGTCGTCACTGCTATCGGTGTTGAGGCAGCGTCTGATGCGTGACTCAAGCCACAACGGGACAGAAAAGTAATTGGACTCGAATGTAATTTTGAATCGAGTCACGACGCGACATCGCGACCATGTTGGGGTTCGCTGCTGGCAGAGAGGGGCGGGGTAGAGAGTGGGCTGCAGTGTTCATTACTGCACATCTGTGAAGAAGAGCTTCATAGCTCTTCGGATTCCTCCAGTATAAATACATACTTTTAATCTGAATTAAGTCAGAATTATCTTTGTCAAGTCGTAGTCTCAGTCGATGGCAACCTGTGGAATTGTAGTCTTCAACTGTGGATTTCACTTCGTGTTTCCTTAGTCTCATCGGCTAAAGCAGTCAGAATGGAGTAGGTCCTTCATTTATTCAGTGGCGCCCAAATGTAATGATGTTAGCCGGAAAATGGACTCAGGTTCCTGGGTTCATGGTACACGTGCTCTTACAACGCTGCCACCAACCCACCGCTCGCTTTTATTCCGTACAGCTGCTCATGTAGATGCAGAGCAAGAGCTACAATGTCACATTCAGTTGGTTCAAGTCCAGATAACCGCGTTAGGAGCTGCGGAGTGCATCGCCGCTGTGATGCCTCCTTCGTATCTGTGGATCGGGCATTGCGTCGCTAGACGTTGTACGGTCTGTTCTGGACGACCACAGTCGCACACTCATCATCAGGTATCCACATCTACTGCCACGGATTGTGCAGCGGATGCGGTTTAGGGTGGACCATGAGCATCGTGGAAGATCAAACCCCAGAGATCTTTTAAAATCCATGTTGTCAGTAAGTTCTAATGAGACGCAGTCCTTAAAATCGCCAGTGACGGGAGCCCATCTCTTGGCTGATAGACCTCGCGTGACTGCCAAAAGAGGCACAGATGGGAGGAGACGTTGCATAGTTCGCATTCTTGTCAAGGCCAAAGGACTCCAACATCTCTGGCTGTAGCCACTGTGCCCCCCGCTCTTTGTCCACGTATCTGCCTGGCCATACACTCTCACGTTTTCAAAGTTGTTGTTTCTGTTTCACCAGGTGTGGACTCAAAGTTGTTGGTTCTGTTTAACCAGCTAAGAACTCAAAGATACCTGGATGAGTCGCATTTGCAAGACTGGCCTGCGTTATGCAGAAACACGGCCTTGAAAGGGAAACATATGTGTATATAAAGCAGGCGACGTTTCACGCAATGTCCCTTCTACATTGCCCGGCAGCGTTTAGAGTATATTTACACGTGATAAGCCACTTCGGCGAGCTATCATTTGTGATAGCCAGGTCGCTTATGAAAACACATTCCTGCGGAGGGAGCTGGTAGGAACGTCGGGTTGCTCAGTCAATGGCCAGGGTCAACGGCGGCGTGGTGTATTCCGCAAATATGGCCGACTGTGAGGGGGGGCACAAGTCGGCGTGAGTAGGTGAAACGTTGAGTTTTATAAGGGCACCACGGGGTGACTAGCCCCACCCCACCCAGCCCCACCCAGCGCCACCCAGCCCCACCCTCCCCACCCAGCCCCTCCCCACCCTCCCCACCCAGCCCCTCCACACCCTCTCCACTCAGCCCCTCCCCACCCAGCCCCTCCCCACCCTCCCCTCTCCACCCAGCCCCACCCCTCCCATTTTTGGATGCACGACGGACGGACGAACACAATAATCCCCTGTGGGCTGGTGTAACCAGGAGGTTCCTACCAGTAAAAAGCTATCTAGCTCAGTGGGGTCTTACCTGGTAACATTATAGTTTAGTTTACAATTATTATATCTTCCAAGCTTCTTCCACCGTTTCAATCCAGATCAATGTTTATTTGTTGCATGGTAAATCCCCGTGTGTCCAGTTATGCAGCTAGATTTGGTGGCAACTTCCGTAGCCACTTATAAGAAAGTTGCTGTGGGGTAGACAGTAGCCCAGCCAGCAGCCAGCCGGGAAACTCGACTCATGCATTATTTTCATGATTGCTATGAAGATCAAACATAATAGTCGTCTCGCTTGTGCAGACTACGTAGTACGATGACACTGTGGCCCTCTCGTATCATCCCAGACCTGCCGACCGTGCTGTTGTGAATCTCACAATGGGGGGCAAGGCCCCTCCTAGTGCTGCCTATGGCCAGCTCAGGCTGTCATACCGTCAGTCGGCATACCGCGGCCACCTGACGGCCCATGTCCATAACACTGCAGAGCGTCATACCGTATAGGTAATCATACCGCAGGGGGTCATACCACGGGGCGTCATACCGTGGCCACCTGCAGGTCCGTGGGCCGGTTGGGCTCCTCCTCGCCTTCGAAGACGATGAAGGGCGCGCATCGAGCCGACTCTGGCAGCAGCAGCAGCAGCGGCAGCAGCAGCAGCAGTGGAGGCAGCAGCAGCCGCAGCGGCAGCAGCAGCCGCATGGTCAAGAGTGGGTGACTCCCCGTGGAGCAGACAGCACCGCCCTGTCACCGCTGGCCCCAACTCAGTGGAAACGACGACACAAATCCTGGCAGCACACAGAGAGACACAGGGAGAGAGAGAGAGAGACACACACACACAGAGACACACAGAGAGAGAGACACACAGAGAGAGACACAGAGAGAGAGACAGAGAGTCCACAACAACAACAACAAGTGGCTGCCGGAGGTGTCACGCAAGTGCTGGAATGTGCGACAAACAACGCAAGCCCACAGGGGGCTGCACAGCCATCATCACATCAGAGGCAGCAGTGGCTGGGATGGCTGTGGTGAGGGTGGCTGTGGTGAGGGTGACTGTGGTGAGGGTGGTGAGGGTGGTGAGGGTGGCTGTGGTGAGGGTGGTGAGGGTGGTGAGGGTGGTCAGGGTGGTGACTGTGGTGAGGGTGACTGTGGTGAGGGTTGTGAAGGTGAGGGTGGTGAGGGTGGTGAGGGTGGTGAGGATGACTGTGGTGAGGGTGGTGAGGGTGATGAGGGTGATGAGGGTGAGGGTGGTGAGGGTGGCTGTGGTGAGGGTGGTGAGGGTGGTGAGGGTGGTTGTGGTGAGGGTGGTGACTGGTGAGGGTGGTGACTGTGGTGAGGGTGTTGAGGGTGGCTGTGGTGAGGGTGGTGAGGGTGGTGAGGGTGGTGAGGGTGGTGACTGTGGTGAGGGTGGTGAGGGTGGTGAGGGTGGTGATGGTGGTGAGGGTGGTGAGCCACGTGAGGAGCTCCTAACCGTCGGCATCGCTCCTCACCGCAAGTGGCGCCGCGCGAGTCGCTCTGCCCCGGGCTGCGGCTGGCGGGGGCTGGGGGCTGGGGGCTGTGGGCTGGGGGCTGTGGGCTGTGGGCGGCGAGCGGAATCTGTCGGCTCCGTTCCCCTGCGAGGAGGCGCCTGGGGAAGGGCTCCAGGGGAAGGGCTTTAGGGGAAGGGCTTCAGGCTTCAGGGGAAGGGCTCCAGGGGAAGGGCTCCAGGGGAAGGGCTTCAGGCTCCAAGGGAAGGGCTCCAGGGGAAGGGCTCCAGGGGAAGGGCTCCAGGGGAAGGGCTCCAAGGGAAGGGCTTCAGGCTTCAGGGGAAGGCTTCAGGCGAAGGGTTCTGTGAGACGCCGACTCTGCAGTCGCCTGGCACGGGGCGGCTGAGCGTTACCACGTGGGCGGCACATGCCGCGATCTCTCCCTCTGTGACCCGGCGTCACGTGCAGTTGGACGGTCACGGCTCAGCGTGTTGATTTTATTTTTTTCTTCAACCGCACGATGTTCCCAGCCCTCTTGTGCGTTTTGCCGCGAGCTGCGAGATGGCAATGGTAGCGCTGCGCGTGGGTTTGTGAATCCGTCTGTGCGGACCTTGAAGTGTTCTTCTTTCGCACTTGAGTTCACAACCCCCGGTGCAGCTTGGAGAGCTGAACGGAGTTCACAAGAACTCGCAAACACCGCCCTGGTGTGGTAGACCCAACGCAGAAGATCCCAAGGCTTTTATCTTCCACTAAGCTCACGGTGCACCCCTGAACCGCATCCGCCATCGCAGCAGTAGAGTCGGATACCCTGGGGCTCAGATTTAAAGTTCTAACCCCTCCAGTAGCAGCGGTGTGACTGTGGTCATCCGGAGCAGAGGCCGTGCAACGTCCAGGGGCGCAATGCCCCGAGCCACAAATACGAAGCAGACATCAGAGCGACGATGATGATGCTGATGATACACTCCGCTGCTCCTGACGCAGATGTCTGGCTTGACCACCTCAATGTGTCGAGATGTTGACTACCTCACCTGGTGTACAGGAGGTCGCGAGTTAGATCCCGACCCTGACGCCTGCTGCTGCTGCTGTATATTTGTAGTTTGCGTGTCTCTCTCATCATCATCACGGTGGCTAGGAGATGTTGATAACCTCCCCTAGCATACAGGAGGTTGTGGGTTAGATCCTGACACTGACGCGTGGAGTTTTCTCCCGGTCCTCCGGTTTTCCCCTCCACATTTAGAATCGACATCATTCGTTTAAGGTATTTAGCTGCTGCTGCTATAAATGTCCACGTTGATTATAAACCTGTTCGTTGAACTATAATTGTGATAAAGAGAAGTACAGCCCAGTGGGTGGGCCTTACCTGCTAAAACACAAAGTCTATTTTATTTACAAATTTGACATTGTAGTTGGTGCTCCGAATCGACATCTGCCGGACCAAAATAAGAATATCGCCTCCTCTACCCCTCCCCCCTCTGTCTGCGACGTGACAAACGAGGGCACAGAGCCGCGGGGGGTGGGGGGGGGCGAACCTTCATCCGCCGTGGCCGCGCTCAGAGCGTTCGCTGTTGTCGGCGTGGGGTTTCGAGTTTCGGGCGGCGCGGGTTTGGCCCCCATCCAACAGCCGCCGCCGCCGCCGATGTTTTATTCTGGGGAGGAAAGATTTCGACATCCGAAATAAATGTTTAATCTGGAAAACATTCAAGAGCGCCTCCGTGACACAGCGCCGCTCTGATACCGTTGTTGTTGTTTTGGCAGTGCTATTTATTTATTTTTATTTAGTGAAAGCGACGATCGCTTTCACGGTCGTGCCTCCATCGCACCTCCGATTCGTACGGTTGGCTACGTACGGTGCGAAAGAAATCCAACGCACGTGGTGTTACGGCGGCTTGGGGTTAGACCTTCATGTAGCAGTGGATTGACCATGGCTGATGGATGAGGTATTGAGGCGTTGTGGTGTTGCCATGCTGTCATGGTTTAGCGCACTGCACCTGGTTCCCTGGTGTTGGCAGTTGAAATAAAAACACACATTGAGCAATCTCCCCCCTTGCCTCTTGTACATCCAGCCGTATAGAATTGTGGTGTTCACCACACTTGATGGGCAGGTCACGTGTGGTGGTGGGGGGGGGTAAAGTGTGGGTAACTCCGACCTTTCCACGATGGCTGGCCAGCGTGCAAGAGTTGGCCAAAATACCCCGTCGCAGGCCCTCTAGTCCCCCTTTATTCCTTTTCGTCTCGTCAAAAGTTAAATTACTTCCCATTCTTAGCTCTCATCAAGCACTGCGTATCACCCCGGTGGTACGGAACGGTTGGGCAAGATATGCTCAAAGCACTTCTTATTAAGAACCCGGGACTTAACTTGACCTCGTTATCTTTGCACACGAGGGAGCACACATTCTCGCACAGTCTGCTACGAGATAGATTGCCACATGTATGTATGTTGAACTTCTTTCGCACCGTACGTAGCCAACCGTGCTAATCGGAGGTGCTGGGGAAGGACAACAAACTAAACACAAAACGAAGTTCTAAAGAAATGAGATTTCAATCTAAATTATTTAAAAGTGCATCGCTCCAGTGGCTTCCTGATATTAGAAGGAAGAGCGTTCCAGACGGCCGCAAAAACGCATCTGAAAGCGCCACGCGATGCAGTGACCGTCTTTGTCCGACGGTGAGCCAGAAGCCGCCGCCGCTGCTGCTGCTGTGAGGGTGATGGAGTTTGCGTGATGGTGGTTCATGATCCTGGAAGAGATCAGCGCGGTGTTGTGGCTCATTTGTGGCAAGCGCTTTGTGTGTACTGAGTGCGACCTTAGAGCATGACAGTCGAGCCAATCTACTTTAGCTTCACAGAGCTCTAATTTATCCGTATTAAGTGCAAGACATCATGACAATACGGTACTTCTATCGTGCAGTCACTGCTGACCCAGCTGAGCCGGTGGACTCTGAGCACTTGAGACTCCGATGTCATCGCAACTCAGCCGGCGGTACCCCACGATGTTCCGTGTGAGCCATTGGCGCGCGAGCTGAGACCGTCAGCTCGCGCTCTTCCTTCCCGCATGAGGAGGAAGCCATCGGAGCTTTGCACTTTTTACTGGTAGGAACCTCCTGGCTACACCAGCCCACAGGGGATTATTGTGTCCGTCCGTAGTGCAGGGAAGTGCTGGGTGGGGAGGGTGGGGAGGGGCTGGGTGGGGAGGGTGGGGCTGGGTGGGGGGTGGGAGGGGTGGGGCTGAGTGGGGAGGGGCTGGGTGGGGAGGGTGGGGCTGGGTGGGAGGGGTGGGGCTGGGTGGGGAGGGGCTGGTCACCCCGTGGTGCCCTTATAAAACTCAACGTTTAACCTACTCACGCCGGCTTGTGCCCGCCCTCACAGTGGGGCATATTTGCGGAATACACCACGCCGTCGTTGACCCTGGCCATTGACCGAGCAACCCAACGTTCCTACCAGCTCCCTCCGCAGGAATGTGTAAATCATCGAGAATGACGAACTAATTTCTTTATAACTGATTTCTGTGGTTAGTTTGTTGTCCTTCCTCTGCACATACGTTGAAAGCAGTTGGATATGTACGGTGCAAAAGAAGTTCAACATACACACGTACGTATAATTTGCAAGAACAAAACCACTGTACTTCAGTACTCTGGCCAAGCGCTCGCATGATTTCACATTCCAACAATTTTGAGATGAAAAGCCGCTGACGACGGCACGCCACACCTCAATTCCTCGCCGCGGGTAAACAGCAGCGGCCTCAGCGGAGCGCATCAGAGAGTGGCCACCACTGAGATCCTCCATTCAGATCCAGGCATGGACGAAGAAAAAAAAAGACCGAAAACACCGTTTGTAAATATTGAGGTGTATCCAGTGGCTGTTTTTATTGTATTGCGTACTTTATTCACACATGTTACTGTATACATATACTTTTTTTTTTATCAACATCGTACAAAGTATTTTCTCTTGCTTCCGGGGACAAATTCAACTTTTAAATATCACCCGGATCTCGTTCGCTAGCCCAACGTTGTGCAACACCACAGATTCCACAACGCATTTTGAGCTCGACTGTTTACTTTAAAATGCTGCCCTCTGCGGAAACAAATAAAATAACATTACATTTGGAGAACGATGCACGTGAAAAATGACGGATTGTGTCATTTTAACTCGCCATCATTGCCACCGTCGGCAATCGTTAAACCATTCGTGACGATGTGAGGCTCTGTGGGGCATCGTGCGTGAGAGGAGCAGGCACTCCCCCACATAAACGTGGAACATTGTTGGGCCAATGTTGTGGTATGTTTACTGAGCCGTCACCTTTAAGCTAAACGAGGCACAGCTTGGAATCGTGGCAATTTGCGTGATTTTATTCCGGGACGCCACGGTGGCTAGGAGATGTTAACTACCTCGCCTGGTATACAGGAGGTTGTGGGTTCCATCCCGACCCCAATGGAAATTTGGAGTCTGCGTCTCTCTTCCCGTGGACGCGTAGATTTTCCCCGGGCCTTCCGGGTTTTCCCTCCACGTTCAGAATCAACGTCACGCGTTTAGAGTATCTGGCTGCTATAAATGTCCACGCGATAAGCCACTTTCGTTGAGCTATCATTAGTGATAGCCAGGTCGCTTCTGAAAAAGAGCTACGTAGCTTAGTGGGCCTTTCCTGGTCAAACAAACAAAGTAGATACATTTTTTTTTCAAATGGTGCACGCACACCCGGAAGCTGACTTCCATTGTTTCCGCGCGACGTCGCAAAATGTAAACCAGGTGAAGCCACGGCTGGTGGAGTCGGCGTGGCCCACGTGTCACCTCCTCTGAGGTACAAGCAAAACGAGGACTAATCATGGGCAGCAGAAGAAGAATATCCCACAGTAGCGGAAGAGTGGAGAACCACGCGCAAAGGCATCGTCTCGCAGTGGCGTATTACTCATATTGCTGTTGTTACGTCACTGAAGAAGAACGGTACTTTAACGTCCCGGGAAGATTTACAGATTTCCTGGGACAGCAGCTGCCTCAAAAAGAAGACGGACGCTCCTGGGAAAATCAGCACATGTGGCGACGCGAGTGGTCGTGGTGGCGACGCGAGTGGTCGTGGTGGCGACACGAGTGGTCGTGGTGGCGACGCGAGTGGTCGTGGTGGCGAGCGGCGGTGGTCGTGGTGGGTGGGCGGTGGTCGTGGTGGCCGGTGGGCCTTGCTCCAAGCGGCGATGTTGGGGGGCGGCCGTGGAGGCAGCGGAGGCCGCTGCGGTGTCGCGCTGCTCACTCGGGGGACTGCTCCGGGGGGGACACCTCGAGCAGCAGCTGCATGTGCTTGGTCAGCGTTGCTGCGGGGAAGAGAGAGGGCAGAGGCAGAGGTCTCCTGTGTAGCCTGCAGCGGCGGCCGGAGCGTTAATCTATCCCAACGCACGTGACCACCATAATCACCACAATTAGGTGGGTACGCCACAAGTAGATCATCATGGTGGCGAGATGTTAACTCCCTCGCATAGTATACAGGAGGATGTGGGTTCGATCCCGACCCTGATGTATATTTGGAGTCGGCGTCTCTCTTCTCGTGGACGCGTGGATTTTATCTCCAGGTCCTCCGGTTTCTCCCTCCACATTTAGAATCAACATCACGCGTTCAGAGTATTTGGCTGCTGCTATACATTTCCCCAACTATTTTTTATTTTACCAGTGAAAGCCCACTGAGCTGTGTAGCTCTTTTTCAGAAGCAACCTGGCCACAAATGATAGCTCAACGAAGTGGCTTATCATGTGGAAAGGTATAGCAACAAAATGCTCTAAACGCGTGATATTGGTTCTAAATGTGGAGGGAAAAAACAAATATACAACAGACGTCAGGGTCGGGATCGAACTTGCGATCTCCGTGTTACCAGGCCAGGTAGTTAACATATCATAGCCACCGTGGCACCACACACAATGTTGTAACGCACTCATATTTCACGAATAGGACGCATTGTTTGATCAACGACTCGGAGGTGCGATCAGCATTCAAGTGCCCGCTGCTCGGCCCTTCCGTATCTCCCCTCCCTTACCCCCCACTTTGCCTGCTCCAAACTCACAAATGAATCCGATCTTCAGCTTGAAGTGGACGAAGGGCAGGTAGAAGATGAGACCGCCCAGGATGAAGATGGCGCAGTAGAGGTACTCCCACTCGGGCAGGTCGATGATGGGTGCGAACACGAGGTACACGGACACGACCATCACCAGCGCCGGGATCACCACAGGGATCTGCGCGCGGACCGCGACAGAATTTAAAAATCGCACCGCGATTTCGGAGCGAGTCCTTCAATTCACGTGTCCAGATTTACTTGGAGGGGGGGGGGGGGGGGTGCCGCCGGAGGCCCGGGGCTGAGGCAGCCCTTGGGGCCAAATGCTACATGAGGAATCATCTGGTTCGCCAGAGACAAAGCGGGCCATTGTGGGGGCCTTTTAAAACTAAAACTATTTTTTATTTTACCAGGTAGGGCCCACTGAGCTTTGTAGCTCTATTTCAGAAGCGACCTGGCCATCGCAAATGATAGCTCAGCAAAGTGGCTTATCGTGTGGACATTTACAGCACCCGGGGACAAAATCCACGCGACCACGGGGAGAAAGACCATGAGCGGCGCTTTGCGAAGCGGTGGAGAGTGCTGAGGAGCTTGGTGTAGCAGTGGTCAGCGGTGGTGAGCGGTGGGGAGTGGTGGGGGCCCTGGCAGCACTCGCCCTGACGGGCCGATGAAGCTCCTTGCGAGTGAAGCGCATCACGATGAAGGCCAGCATGGTGAGGCCGTAGAAGATCCACACGGCGAAGCTGAAGAAGTTGATGAGCGTGTTGATGTCCGCCGGGATGATGTAAATGATCGTCAGGATGCCCTGTTGGTGACAAGAGAGAGAAGTGAGCGAGAGAAAAAAAGAGACGCAAGCACGTGGACGTGGTGTGGCCTGAGCCACGCCCCGGCCGCCTTTGTCTCCCCAGTGGCAGCGATGTTTACACACCGCACCAGGTACTCGACTTAGGGCAGCCCAGGACCGGTTCACATGATCGGCACCGATGTTGGCCGTGAGCGGGAATAGAAAGTGGATCGCCGGGTTCATGGCACAGCGTAGCGCTAACCACCACCAATACCACTCCACCAAACACACAGACACACACACAGATACACACACACAGACACACACAGACACACACACAGACACACACACAGACATACACAGACACACACAGACACACACACAGACACACACAGACACACACACACAGATACACACACAGACACACACACACAGATACAACAACAACAACCGCCATTCGCCACTAAGTGGCGGTGACGTCACCACGATGCTTGTGCCAGGCCAAGTGCACCTTGAGGCCACGTGAAGTGTCGAACGCCCGCTGGCAGGAGGTCACGGGGCAGACCCAGGTGCCACGGGTCGACTGACCGAGATGACCGAGATGACTGGCTGATGCACCACCTGTGCCCCCTACTGTGCCAAATTGCTGTGCTTTAGCCACCCGGCGCTCCGCTCGTTGTTGTGAGCGTCGCTCCTCCGCCCTCCGTTGTTGTTGGAGGGCGACTGCCTCCAACTGCCCAGTAGCGTCCTTCACGAGCCTCCTCCACTGAGGCCGATCTTGACACCGCTGGTACCAGTCATCGGCAAGTCCACTCAGCTCCACGTCCTCCTGTACCACATCACTCCATCTCTTCTCCAGCCCGTGCCGCGCCCGTCTAGCCCCCTCGATCCGGCCGAACAAAAGCTGTTTAGGCATGCGGTGGCTGGGCATGCGGGCTACATGACCCAGCCAACGCAGCCTTGCCTGCCGGAGGAGCTCACTGATGGGACTTTGCCAAGATCTTTCAAGGATTTGTGAGCTCCTCACACAATCCAGCCTGGTTAAACCCAGGATGGATCGTAAGCAGGCCAGCCTAAATGTTTCCAACCGGCGAAGATGCTCCACCAGGGGGGTCCACGTCTCGCAAGCGTAGAGAAGGGAGGGAATGACCGTGGCCGAGAAGACCTGAAGCTTCGTGCGGAGCAACAGACCAGGTAGCTTCCACACAGCGTTACGCAACCGATGAAAAGATATTGCCGCTCGACTGATTCGGAGTGAGACCTCTGCTGATAAACTGGAGCCGGTCATAAGCACACTGCCCAGGTATGGGAAACTCTCCACTCTCTCCACAACTGCCCCATCACCAATTGGGAGTTGTGGGGGTGGAGTGTCCGATGGTACAAAATACCCAGGCAGGTGCTTAGTTTTGGTGGGGCTGATGGTAAGGCCCCACCTCTTAGTGGCACGCTCCAGTCTCAGCAGCACCGTCTCCAACTCCTCTTCTGAATGAGCAGCTATTACCAAATCATCGGCATACATAACGTGGTTGACCAATAGGGAGCCATCCCTTGATCGCACCCGGGCATCGATCAGCCTCCCATTATATCTGTACCAAATGGAAATTCCCCCGGTACAGCTACACACACAGCTACACACACATACACACACAGACACACACACAGACATACACACACACACATGCCAGGACTCACGTTGAAGAAGATGGCGGGCGACGGGGTGAGGCGCCGCACGTTGATGAACGACAGAACCTCGAGCATGTGACCCTCGCGCGCCGCCACGTAGGTCAGCCTACACAAAGGCATCGTGAGTGTGGTGCACGTGCTTGCCTGCTTGCTGGCATCTGTGGTGCATCCCGTGGGTGGCTGCGTGGTGCAGGCGGTGGCTGCGTGGTGCAGGCGGTGGCTGCGTGGTGCAGGCGGTGGCTGCGTGGTGCAGGCGGTGGCTGCGTTGGCGAGTGGCGGTTTTGAAAAAGAGCTTCACAGCTCTTCGTATGTTTTCCCAGAATCAATAGAAATTCTGATTATAGTGGTGGCGGTGGTGGTAGTGGCGGTGGTGGTGGTGGTGGTGGCGGTGACGGCGGCGGTGGCGGCGGTGGAGGTGGCGGTGGCGGCAGTGGAGGTGGCGGTGGTGGTGGCGGTGGTGGTGGCGACGGTGGTGGCGGCGGTGGTGGTGGCGGTGGCGGTGGTGGCGGCGGTTGTGACGTTACCGTCCGGCCGTGAAGCACGATCCGTTGGCAGCGCCGAACGTGGAGAAGGCGACCGCCAGCGGCACGATCCAGGTCATGACGCCCAGAGTGCGGTCCCCAAACGTCTGGTGACAGACCGGGTCGGCGGTGGGGTGCCACGCGCCGGTGGAGAATCGGGGTCACGAGCGTTGTGTCCACGTGTGTGCCTGGGCCGAGGTGAGGGTGGTGGTGGTGGTGCAGCAGGAAGGGGGGATGGCGGTGGGGGGGGGGCACTCACGACGGCGACGGCGGGCGACTGCAGCAGCTCGGTGGCCGTCATGGTGGTGAGGTAGGCGATGTTCATGAGGATGTAGCACACGGTGACGAACGGGATGCCGATGATGATGGACAGAGGCAGGTTTCTGCGGCGCACACCACGGCGGACACAGATTCCCCCGGATAGCGTCAACAGGCTGCTGGGGCAAGTGCTGTTAGCGAGTAGAGGCTATGAAGGCTGGCACGGCGCACGAGCGGGTGGGTGGCCGGCACCACGCCCGGCTGCCTTTGTCTCCCCGGTGTTTACACAGCGCACCCGGGACCCATTTGAGGCTCGAGTCGACCTAGGGGAGGCCAATGACTAATTCAGATTTCATCGTCACTGGTTTTGGCCATGAGTGGGAATTGAACTGGGGTCGCCGGGTTCTAAAGCAACATGCAAACCACTACGCTACCACTCACACACCCACACACACACCATAGCATTGACGTGGGCACCACGGTGGCTAGGAGATGTTAACTTCCTCGCCTGGTACACAGGAGGTCGCGGGTTCGATCCCGATCCACATCCTAGAATGTGCCTTATTGGTTATATAAACGCAGTCTACGCCTGTAAATGTCGCTATTCTATACGACCGACGTAGAATGTAGAAGAAACTCCTCTTATCCGTTACCATGTTACGTGTGATTCCAATTCTCCGCAGACGCCGTTGGGTCCACGAAAGACGACTATGACCATCAAGCTGTTCTCCCCTCTTCAGTACAGACACCCGCTGCTCACCGTGGGACGGTTTCCCGGTACTCTGCATTTTCTTTCGGAGAAGAGGAGCCGAGTGGGAAATTGTCCCCCCCCCCTCGACGATTATCCGCGATGTATTCCTGCGCGGTAAGTTGGCGGCTAAGCCCCGTGGATGTTGGTCCCCACACATCACCGCATCACCGCGCACAGGGAACTCTCTGGGAGTACAATCTGCCAGCGACTTTCAATCACCAGCACCGCACACGTCACCACGAGGTGTTCGCACGTGAAGACGCATGAGAAGAAGACAAAGCAAACGCGTGTTTTGTACCGGAAGGGATTCTTCAGCTCCTCGGTCACGAAGTTCAGCTGGTTCCTGTGGGACAGACGCAGGTTTTGCGTTGTTAGCGGCAACAGACAGCGGGGCAAAGACTTCGTGTGCCCAATCTCCGAGCTCTCCGCGATTCGCGCGCGAGGAACCGCCCGTGTGACAATCGACGTTTTGTCTTTCAAGTGCTTTGTCGTCGTCGTCGTTGTGGTCGCCTGTGATGATCACTGCGGCCACGAGAGGCGGCGACGTGGTGCACCACACCGTCAAACATCAAACACCACACCGTCAAACATCAAACATCACACCATCAAACATCAAACACCACACCGTCAAACATCACACCGTCAAACACCACACCATCAAATATTACACCATCAAATATCACACCATCAAACATCACACCGTCAAACACCACACCGTCAAACACCACACCGTCAAACACCACACCGTCAAACACCACACCGTCAAACATCAAACACCACACCGTCAAACACCACACCGTCAAACATCACACCGTCAAACATCACCATACACGGAGCTGTGGAGCTCTTTTTGAGAAGCGATCCCGCTATCAAAATGATAGCCCAACCAAGTGGCTTATCACGTGGCAATTTATAGTCGCAGCCAAACATCATCATCATCGTATGGAAACGTATAGCAGCAAAATATTCAAAACGCGTGGCGTGGATTCGAAATGTGGAGGGGGAAACCGGAGGACCTGGAGAACAATCTACGCGAACAAGGGGGAGAGAGACATGCAAGCTACAAATATACAGCAGCAGCAGGCGTCAGGGTTGGGGTCCAATCCACGACCTCCTGCACACCAGGCGAGGGAGATGACATCTCAGCGCCTGAAGGATGGGAGCCAACTGAGAGGTGCGAGGATGAGTCACTGATGAGCACAAAGGCAGCAGCAGCCACGCGGTGAGCAGGCGCCAGCAATTGCCTAAGCCAGGGGTGGGGAACGTCCGGCCCGCGGGCCGTATAAGGCCCACGAAATCATTTGGTCTGGCCCTGCCAAGGCAACTGCAGGCGGGACTCGAAATTCAATAAATCTCGGAGCAAACCTGGAAAGCAGTTGCGAGTAGCAGCAACATCATCAACACCAGCTCACATCACACGCCTCGCCAATGAGAAGCAGTTCCAGCCATCGCATTAGGGGTGAGTTAATTAAATGTTTGACCAAATATAACGGGCTAATTTTTAAGTTGATAATGTTGTAAGGCCCGCGAATGAGGGTGTAAATATCCAAATGGCCCTTGGCAGAAAAAAGGTTCTCCACCCCTGGCCTAAGCTCTGCAGTCCTTCACATGCCAAGGTGGTATCGGCCAACTCGTGAGTGCTGGTCATTGTCTTTGAGACTGATTGTCCTACACAAGAGACATCAGCAGCCGTCTCCATAGCCTCGTCTCACCACCAGTGTCAGACCAGAGGACACCGCCCAGAGGCGGACAGCACAAGGACCATGCCACACGCGTCACGGCATCGAGAGCTCGCGGTGAGCGGCGATGTCACGGGATGCCTGTTTGCTCGTATCAAAGTATGAACAATAAGAATAATGAGAATAGGTTTTTACCCTTTCTAGCAACAGCTGTATGTTTGTTTGCATGTTCACCACAAGTACGTGTGGCCTAATGCGAACTTGATTCCTTGCTAAAGGTTTAATCTATTTGGTGTTTGAACATCTTAACACAACTGCTTTAGTGCCAGAGAGGGTAAACATCTATTAATATTTATCAGCAGTTACGCCGTGTGGTTTTGTTAACGTTGGGAGGAAAGGGGAGAACCCAGAACAGAGGGAGAACATACAAAGTCCACTCCATCACGCACTCGGTCACCGACAACGAATATGTTCCCGTATTGCCTTTAACCGGCTGTTAACCGGCTAACAGCCGATACTTTATGCCCACTGACACACAAACAAAGACAAATATCCCCCTTATAGTCTTCACAGATTTTTGGGGCAAGTGCTGTTAGTGAGTAGCACGACACACGAGGGGGTGGGTGGCCAGCACCTCGCCCGGCTGCCTTTGTCTCACTAGTGGCGATGTTTTTACACATCGCACCAGGTACTTGTTTGAGGCTGAGTCGACCTAGGGGAGGCCCAGGAGCGGTTCAGATAATCGTCACTGGTTGTTGGCCGTGAGCAGGAATCGAACTCGCGGATGCTGGGTTCGTAGCGCAGAGCGCTAACCGCTGCACCACCGCTTCCTACTGCTCAGTGCCACACACTCCGTCACACTCTGTAGAACGGTGGAGAGAATGTACAGAAACGAAACTCCGCAACAAAACTATTTTCCTTCTACCAGGTAAGGCCCACTGAGTTATGTAGCTCTTTTTCAGAAGTGACCCGGCCACAAATGACAGCTCAACCAAGTGGCGACTTATCGCGTGGACATTTCTAGCAGCCAAAGACTCTAAACGCCTGATGTTCATTCTCAGCGTGGAGGGGGAAAACCGGAGGACCCGGAGAAAAGTGCACGCGGCCACGGGGAGAGAGAACGAGAGAGACACGGCAATATACCGGCAGTCAGAGTCGCCATCGACCCCACGACCTCCTGCATACCAAGCGACGTGGTTAACATCTCCTAGCCAGCCAGGCACGTGCGTTGCCACTGCCGCCACCGTGGCCGCCCAAGCGGGCGACGGACTTCCCCGCCACGAGGGGCTCACTCACCAGCCGTCGTAGGCCCACAGGCCATTGTAGAAGGCGACCCCGATTGAGCCGAACGACAACTGATGTCCTTCAAAGCTGTTCTGGAGGTTCGTCGTGTGTCCTGTGGTGGGGGGGGGGGGGGGGGGAGGAAGGACCGGGAGCCTCTTGAAGACAAAACGACCGGCGAGCCCCCTCCGCGACGCCCAGCGTGGTGAAGTATGGTCCAACAAGGCCCCCCGCGACGCCCAGCGTGGTGAAGTATGGTCCAACAAGGCCCCCCGCGACGTACTCCAGCAGCGGGTCGACAAGAGGGCGAGCCAAGTTCCGTAAGTCGACTGTTTACTTCGGGAAAATTGGATGTCGGTCACGACGGTGAATGGACGCGCTGTTCAACTTGGCCACTCTCCTGAGTGAACTGCTCGTTCACAGAGCACGGTAGCGGTGGCAGTATGTACGTTGTATGTAGTACGTATGTTGTATGTATGTTGAACTTCTTTTTCACCGTACGTAGCCAACCGTGCAAATCAGAGGTACGGGGGAAGGACAACAAACCAAACACTAAAATCCGTTCTCAAGAAATGAGTTTGTCAATCTAGACGACGATTTAAAAGTCGATAGCTCCAGTGGCTTCCTAATATCGAAAGAGCCTTCCAGACGGCCGCAGAAGCGCATATGAAAGTGCGCAATTAGGTGACCGTCTTTGTTTGATGGTTTGCCAAAAGCCACCACTGCGCTGATGAGCGGAGTTCGCGTGATGGTAGTGTATGCTCCTTGACAAAATCAGCAAGGCATTGTGGTTCATTTGTGGCAAGCACTTTGTGTGTGATGAGCGTGACCTTATAAGGCATTAGTTCAGCGACCGGAAGCCAATGCAGCTCAGAGAGCACCGGGGGATACAAGGGCGGCTGGGTGTGGTGCTGGCCACCCAGACCCTCAGGTGCGATGTGTGTTTATGTCTCAGTCGATATTCAGATTTTGATGCTTCTATCGCACCGTGCGCTGCCAACTGTGCTCATCGGAGATGCTCACTAACACCGCTTTGTCAAGCACACTGCTAACGGCTCCACTGTTGATCTATGTCTCAGTCTTTGCACGCACAAGTGTGTGTGTGTCCGTGTGTGTCCGTGTGAGCGTGCGTGCTGTGTGTGTCCGTGCGTGCCGTGTGTGTCTGTGCGTGCCGTGTGTGTCTGTGCGTGCCGTGTGTGTCCGTGTGTGTCCGTGTGAGCGTGTGTGTCCGTGTGTGTCCGTGTAAGCGAGTGTGCTGTGTGTGTCCGTGTGTGTCCGTGTGAGCGTGTGTGTCCGTGTATGTCTGTGTGAGCGAGTGTGCTGTGTGTGTCCGTGTGTGTCTGTGCGTGCCGTGTATGTCCGTGCGTGCCGTGTGTGTCTGTGCGTGCCGTGTGTCTGTGCGTGCCGTGTGTGTCTGTGCGTGCCGTGCGTGTCCGTGTGTGTCCGTGTGAGCGTGTGTGTCCGTGTGTGTCCGTGTGAGCGAGTGTGCTGTGTGTGTCCGTGTGTGTCCGTGTGAGCGTGTGTGTCCGTGTATGTCTGTGTGAGCGAGTGTGCTGTGTGTATCCGTGTGTGTCTGTGCGTGCCGTGTGTGTCTGTGCATGCCGTGCGTGTCGTGTGTGTCTGTGCGTGCCGTGTGTGTCTGTGCATGCCGTGCGTGCCGTGTGTGTCCGTGCGAGCGTGCTGACCCCGTGTCCTTTTTCTTTTTAGACCGCGTGCCACCGCCGCCATTATTGCGCCGTAAACCACCGGGATCACGGTGTCTCCGCGTGATGCCGGGGGCCGCTGCCTACCCCCACCCCACAAGACTCTTTACGACGAACTCCTCAAGGCTGTGGCACTGGCCGTCACATCTCCAATCAACGTGCGCTTTATCTGCAGGTCAGATAACAAGTTCGTACCGCTTTCATCGCGTGGCCCTCCAGAGTCGATACAATGGGCACCATCATTTCTACCTTGCCGAGGCTTCGCCCACCGCTTGCTATAATGAGGGTGCCGCGGTGGCTAGGAGATGTCAACTACCTCGCCAGGTTTGAAGGAGGTCGTAAGTCCCATCCCAACCCTGACGCCTGCTGTATATGTGGAATCTCTCACTCTCTCCCCCCTGTCACGTGGACTTTTCTCCAGGTCCTCCGGTTTCCCCTCCACATTTAGAATCAACATGCATTTTGAGTATTTGGCTGCTATAAATGTCAACGTGATAAGCCACTTAGTTGAGCTATAATTTGTTGCAATGTCGCTTCTGAAAAGAGCCTCTATAACTCAATCGGCCTTATTTGGTAAAATAAAAGTTTAGTTTTTAGTTTGTAATAATGTACAATCTTCGGTGGTGTCTGGGGTGTCATCACCCCAATACTACAATCCATCCACTCACTCTCCTGCCTCTCCCCTCTCATCTCACTCTACTGCCCTCCACGAACTCTCCTGCCTCTCCCCTCTCATTTCGCTTTACTCCCCTCTACGCACTCTCCTGCCTCTCCCCTCTCACCCTATCATCTCCCTCTGCGAGATACCCATTTACGCGTATACACAGGACTACGACGGCCCAGTATCTCTCTGTGAGATGAGAGGGGAGAGGCGGGAGAGTGCGTGGCTGGAGGGGAGCTTGCATGTCTATGGACGTTCGTCGTCGTCGTTGTTGTGAAACGTCGCACCGCGGTCATCCAGGAAATTACGAGGCACTAAAATCCGAGTGTCTCCCTCCCACCACGCTCACCCGCACCATTATCTTTAATGGCACGGAGATAAAGATTCGGGTTATAATCAGCGGTGCACACCGCTGCACCTGGGATACCGATCAAGTATCTCTCCGAGCAGATAGCGAACCCCGATTTGGCAACGTTCCCAATCGTGGGGGGTGGAGTTGGGGGATTGAACCGGTTGACTTGAGGCTGGGGGCAGGGGGGCGGGGGTGGTGGGTAAACACCGTGGGGGGAGGGGCCGGGGTGGAAGGGGAGTGGGGGGCGAGGCCGATGTGATGGCACGCGTTTCTTAGGTCGGATGATCGGAGATTTGCTCCGGTTTGTCCTGCAGATATTGGCACAGGCGATGGGACGTCGAAGCTGATGGTGATGATGAGCTCAGTCATCATCACTATCATAGTGGGCATGATGGGTTGTATGGAGAAGCTGATGGTGTCCAATGGTCCAGACTGACAGACGAACGGACGGCCGGCCAAAATGGACAAACAGATCAGAATCAGAATATTGATTTACACTGCAGGAGGAGGAATCCGATGAGCTATGAAACTCTTTCTCACAGATGTCCAGGAGGGGCACGGGGTCAGAACGTTACAACAACAAAAAATACAAACACAACTACAGGTAAACTATTTTTGTAATCTTACCAGGTAAAGGCCACCGAGCTAATTAGTTTCTTTTTCAGAAGCGACCTGGCCACAAATGATAGCTCAACGAAGTGGCTTATCATTATCATCATCATTATTATGTGGAAATGTATAGCAGTTGCCAAATACTCAATAGAATCACGATGGATCAGATGGAACGACGGCGGTTGGATGGAGAGTCAGACGGACGATCGGACATCCTCAGTGTTGTTCTGCTAAACTATATCGGCATATTCTGCGTGGAGAGGAGATCTAGCCCAAGGGAAAGGGCACAAAGCCATTTCTTTTGACTCGTTAAGCACGTGGGTTTAAAGAGCTCAGCTCACAAATAACAGGGCGAGATGTTAACTCCCTTGCCTGGTATACAGGAGGTCGTGGGTTCGCTCCTGACTCTGACGCCTGCTGCTGTATCTTTGGAGTTTGCATGTTTCTCTCTCATCATCACGGTGGCTAGGAGATGTTAACGCCCTCGCCTGGTATGCAGGAGGTCGTGGGTTCGACCCCGACCCTTACGCCTGCTGCTGTATATCTGAGTATGCGTGTTATCTCATTGTGGTCGCGTGGACTTTTCTCCGGGTCCTCCGGTTTTCCCCTCCACATTTAGAATCAACGTCACAACGCGTTGAGATAATGTGACAGCTAGAAAGTGCCACGTGACGATAAGCCGCACCTTTGAGCTAAGATTTGTGATAGCCAGGTCGCTTCTGAACAATACCTACAGTAAGTGGGCCCTACCTGGTAAGGTAAAAACAAAACAAGTTTCATCGTAGTTTCTAAATCTCGGCGGCGTTGCGTTTGTCGGCGTCGTGCGTGCGGCCCCGTGCAGCCCTCGGAGCGCTCACCCTGAGCGAGCAGCACGATGCCGGTGACGATGATGACCACCACGATCAGCAGCTTGGCGACCGTGAAGAAGTTCTGGACGTACGAGGCCAGTTTCACGCTCACCGAGTTGATGATGCAGATGAGCACTGGGTGGCGTGGGGGGGGGGGGCATGGGGGGGGCGACACAGTGGCGGCAGAATCAGACCAGAGCGGACGAACGGCGGCCGTACCTGAGTGCCGTCCGTAAGTCGGAAGACGACAATGAACCGTATTTAAATGCACGTACGGTCAGTGTTATACGATGTGGTACGGTTCGACAAGAAAGGGGAACCATCGTTCAGCTCATGTGAGAAGAAATATTGCGCATTTGTACATTTGCCGAACCAAATAGCCCCGCGGTTCGATTCGCAAGTGCCAGTTTTTACGGAAGCTCGTTCGTAAGTGCGGATGTTCATACGTCGGGCGTTCGTAAGTCGGGGATCGACTGTATTAAAAAAAAAACTGCGTTATGAAGGTGAACAAAAGCAAGTGGTTCGACTGGTGACGCCGGTCAGCGCACGACGTCCATTTGTGGACACTCGCAGTTACAATTAGCGGAGGCAAGTTGCTATACCCGGTCGCACAATCGCCAACGAGGGCGGTGCGATTGTGACGACTCTGCCGGTCGTGCCATCAAGTCACGAGCACGCGGTGCATTCACGGCGATTGCACCTATGTACGTACGCATGTTGAACTTCTTTCGCGCCGTACGTAGGCAACCGTGCTTGTCGGAGGTGCGGGGGAAGGACAACAAACTAAACGCGTAAAGCGGTTGTGAAGCGTTTTCACTTCAGGATCGTGGTGTATTGTATAGTAGTGTGTCGTGTTGTAGTGTATAGTGGAGTACGTATTATGTTGAACGTCTTTTGCACCGTGCGTAGCCACCCGCACTAATCCGTGACGTGGGGACAGCGCAAACAACGCAGTGAAAGCTGTCCTTGTGCCGTACGATAAGATGTTACAAAATAATCGTTACTTTAGTAACGTGTGTCCTCAACACCAATCGAGAATCGTGCACCCTCATCTCACAAGTGATTCCGTTATCATGTTCTGGGTATTGGTGGCTGTGGCTGCTGCTCTGATTGCCATGGTTGGCTATGTACGGTGCGAAAGAAGTTCAACGTACATACACATTCGTACTTTGCTCAGTCAGCGATAGCTGACTAAGACTCGGAGAAAAATCCACGCGACCACGGGGTGAGAGACACGCCAAATCCAAATATACAGCAGGTGTCGGGGTCGGGATGGAACCCACGACCTCCTGCATACCAGGCGAGGGAGTTAACATCTCCTAGCCACCGTGGTTTGTCGTCATGCAACTTACAGATGGCAGCAGCGGCCAGGCACTTCTTGACGAGCATTGGCGGCTCGCAGCCCGGGTAGAAGGGCGCGGACGTGTACTCGGCGAAGCTGAGGCAGATGATGGCGAAGGAGGACGGCTTGAGCACGATGACGGACGCCCACGAGTAGAGGAACGCCGGGATGGGCCCGAACGCCTCCAGCAGGTACGGGTACTCGGCGCCCGACTTGGTGATCATCGTGCCCAGCTCAGCGTACGCCAGCGCGCCTAGGCGGCAGCGGGACGGACAGACGGTCGGACAGACGGTCGGACAGACGCGGACACGGGCAGACAACGCAGAGGGACGAACGGATGGACGATCAGTCACAATACCCTATCCCTAAACCAAACTCCCGAGACGAAGGGTCGGATTCACGGCCGGTGGGTTTCATACTCTGCCATGTTTCCAATTCGCTTTGAAGCGCTTTTCCAAAGGAGGACAAAGCGATTGATGCGTGAGCTCCGTCCGTCCGTCTGCGCGTAACGGAGAATCGACGACAACTTTCGTGGCGACGATCCAATTTGAAATGTTCCTCTAAAGTTGCGTTCCCATTCGGGATTTTACCCCTCGAGCAAAACCGGCCAAATTCATCAACGTTTTGCCAAAAAACTTGGCGACAACAACCGGCGCTGTTTGCTTCGCGATGATGACGCACAATCACGCACGCGCGTCTGTTGTTGTGCTTTCACGAGGGGTGGTGGCGGAGGAATAAAACCTAAATCTGGCCCTTGTTGTAACCCACGTGATCATGATATGAGGCTGCTATCTCTCTTCTCCAGCTGAGATGCTGCCCCGCTGAGCCGAGCGAGTGTGCGAACTCGGCGCACTCTCCTAACCCCGATTTATTGTCACGGTGATTAGCGGACCATCCCAATCTTATCAGGCCTCTTAGAACGGTGGAATTGACTCCTCCCTTGAGGTGTCATCTCCTATCATCTCTCGTCTTCCCTTCCCCCAGTCGAGCTCCAGATATTGCACTGAATCCTCATTGTGAAGGCAAATGAGTTCACGCACAATGTGTGTGAGTGTGTGCACATGGGGCGAGGGGTAGTGGAGCGGTAACTCGGCCACCCGAGTCCGATTCCCGATCACGGCCAACACCAGTGACGATTATCTGAACCGGTCCTGGGCCTCCCTGAGGTCGACTCAGCCTCAAATGAGTACCTGGTGCGGTGTGTAAACATCGCCACTGGGGAGACAAAGGCGTGGTGCTGACCACCCACCCCCTCGTGTTCTGTGCTGGCCTTCATAGGTGCTCGCAAGCAGCACTTGCCCCAACAGTCTGTTACAGGCTATACAGGGGATCTTTGTCTTTGTTATGGAGATCGGATGTTCACTGAATTATTATATTTTTCCCCAGGTAAGGCCCGCGGAGCTATATAACTCCAATTCAGAAGCGACCTGGTCACAAATGAAAGCTCAACAAAGTGGCTTATTCTTAATTTTAGAACTTTCGTGACTGCAGGAATTATATTTGGTTCTTTCGGTTAAGTCACGTCTAAAGATAAAATAATAAATTAAATTAAATAATAGCATACGACGTTTCGATTGCAACACAGGCAATCATCATCAGGTATAATGTTATGTCGCTATTTCATTATACCTGATGATGATTGCCTGTGTTGCAATCGAAACGTCGTATGATATTATTTAATTTAATTTATTATTTTATCTTTAGACGTGACTTAACCGAAAGAACCAAATAATAAAGTGGTTTATCACGTGGAAATGTAGAGCAGCAGCCAAATACTCTGACGTCGATTCTAAATGTGGAGGGAAAAACCGGAGGACCCAAAGAAAAATCCACGCGACCACGGGGAGAGAGCGACTCCAAATATACAGCAGCAGCAGGCGTCAGGGTCGGGATCGAACCCACGACCTCCTGTGGACCAGGCGAGGTAGTCAACATCTCCTAGCTACTGTGATGATGAGAGAGAGACACACACAAACTCCAAATATACAGCAGCAGGCGTCAGGGTCGTGATCGAACCCACGACCTCCTGTACACCAGGCGAGGGAGTCAACATCTCCTCGTCACCGCGGCGCCCCCAACCATTTGAGAAGAAGGAACAGGTCGATGCCCCCTTTGTTATGGCCGTATTAACCGGCAGGTCACGTCTCTGTCCGTTATATCGGTACTTGATATGATGTGTACTTGCTAATGTCAGGGTGCTTGTTCTCACAGTCGTCTATTAATGGCACATTTATCTTTGAGCGTGAGTGTACAAAGTCCGCAGCACACCACCAATGCTCGTGAGATACTGTGCTGCTTGATTATTCTCGTGGAGTCGGAGCAGTTGAACTGACAGCGTTTGAGATCCGATGTTTAAATCTGGGTTCTGGTTGACCGTAATTAAACCCGGGTTCTCAGCCTGATCACCAATGGTTGCACAAATATAAATTTAGATATTATCAAGTCTTCCAAGTAGTATGTTCATCTTGGAAATTTTGACTTGAGTTTCAAGACTCCCTCGTGTGATTCAGAGGTCGTTTGAATAGATGTAAGAATTAGTTCCCTGATATCTGCTTCTGTAGGGGCTTTTTAATAACATGGGGCGATGCACTGCCCCCCCCCGCCCCCACCGCAAGAGCTCTCATTGTGCACTTCCATCGTGCCTTGACTCCCGAGAGCGGAATCGTAGCATAACAACAAACTAAATAGGGGAAAAGTGTGATTATTACATGCAAGGATTGTGAGAGATTGCGGTGCCTTAGGGAGGTCCTTCATTCAGCAGCGGATTGACCATGGCTGATGATGCTGATAGGCCAGGTGGTGTGCAATGATGGAGCACAGAGCTCGAAGTTGACGGACCAGCCGAGCTATTCCTCCCTCCGGGGGTGAGGGGGGTGTTCAACGTTGGTTGCTCCGTGGAAAAAATCTCGGCTGGGCTCAGGGCTGCGACAAAGGTGATGACTTTTGTCCTCCTACGCATTCTACAAGTAGTGACTAATCCCATATTTGCTTTTCCCATAAATATGCTAAATTCCTCTTGATATGCAAATTATTTTGTTAAGGCGCTCTTCCCCCTCCAACCCAGCCTAAATATACGCTCCAAGCCTGGTGGTGTTTCATTCAGACGCTGTCTTCCCGACAGACCTGTTCTTGACCTGAGGACGGCTGCTTGCGTTGTGGCCGAAACGTCGTGAGAATTATTTTATTATGTTTTATTTTTATTATTTTATTATTTCCCTTCTACGTGACTTTACCGAAAGAACCAAGAAGAAAAAGGTGACGACTGCCACCCCGCGCCTTCGATTGAGCGAGAAACCACTGAAGACTTCTCCGACCTCAACGAGGGAGGAGAAGCGGGCACGTTCCAGGATGGCGCGACTGCTCCCGAGGAGCCGCGTCTTTGTTGTGCTCGCATGGATGCGATTAAAGAGTCACACGGTGAGGTGACGTCACGCGGCGCATGACGTCACGGGTGAGCGGCGCGTTATGACGTTATTCATGATTCACGGCTTGGCTTCGCGAACGAAGATCTAGGAAGGACATCCACGTCTTCTGCAGGCACGCTGGTGGCTGACGAGGCCTATGCGGGACAAGCAGGTCCTGCCACAACGGCTTAACCACTCGGAACTTTTTTTTATAGTTTTTAATCGGTGAGTTTTGGGCAAACCCTGTCACTTTGGCCGATGTTAACCCAAAACAGAACTGCTAATTTTAAATCAGATTTCATTGACATTGGATCATATTTACGAGAGTCATCTCGTGGTCACATCGATACGGGTCGGACAGATGGATGGGGCAGATGCACGGGGACAGCTTTGGCATTCGACGCGTTACAAAGTTTGAGTGCGCAGTAAACATAACGGGAAGAGACGTAAGTGGGTCATTACTAAGTGGGTCGTATGAGCACTAAAGATTTATGGTTCTTAGGAATTGCTTGGGGAGGGTCAAAAGAGGTTCTTGAACGCCTCATCTCATTTGAGATTTGGGCCACGTTAATAAGAATCAGAGTCGATATTTATTCTGCAGGAGGAATCTGATGAGCTGTAAAGCTCTTTTTCACAGATTTCCAGTTGGGGCAGAGCAGAAAGTTACAACAACAACAAACAATACAAAAACAAAACACGATAGCAGTGCAAAGTCGAGGAAAGGTAAACAAATCACTAAAGTAAATATTTTACCAGGTAAGGCCTGGCCACGCAAATGGTAGCTCAACGAAGTGGCTTATCACGTGGAAATTTGTCGCAGCAAAATATTCTACGTAATCTAAACGCGTGATGTTGTTTCTAAATGTGAAGGAAAAAAGGGAACCCAGAAAGAAATCCGCACCACCACGGGGAGAGAGAGGAGACGAAAAACTCCAAATCTACAGCAGGCGTCGTGAAGGTCGGGATTAGAGGAGCCAACAAGAGAGGCGGACGACCTCGACCCCGTGACACGGGCCGACCCCGTGACATGAGCCGACCCCGTGACACGAGCCGACCCCGTGACACGGGCCGACCTCGACCCCGTGACACAGGCCGACCTTGGCCCCGTGACACGAGCCGACCCCGTGACACGGGCCGACCTCGACCCCGTGACACAGGCCGACCTTGGCCCCATGACATAGGCCGACCCCGTGACACGGGCCGACCTTGACCCCGTGACACGGGCCGACCTCGGCCACATGACTCGAGCCGACTTCGACCCCGTCCAAGGTCAACCACAACAATCAGAGCGCCGCCTCCGGGTGAGGGAGGGCATCTTGCAGCGGCGCGTTGAGGAGTTGCCGCGTCCCCACGGCGCTGGGTCCGAGGTCCGTTTGCTCGCTGGCGCCCGCCACCCGGACTCAGATCTTTCACTGGCTGTGCTGCAGCCCAGCCAAGAGGCTTTATCTCTGTACCTGCTACCCCCCCTGCTCCCCCCTCCCGCTCCCATTAATGAAGACTTGACACACGGGAGACATGGAATGTAGCCCCTCTCACTCTTGTCGGAAGTAGCTGATTGGGTAAACGTCGTATCGGTTTCAAGTCGTGTCTTCCAGGAGCGTAACCCCCCCCCCCACCCCTCTCCTGACTTGAACTGATCATTCCCAGGAATGTATTAGCTCCACTCTGTCCATCTGCCTGTCTGTCTGTAAGGGGCACCAGCATACCTCTCGTAAGCATGACCCAATGTGAATAATAAACATTGTGGATGTGGTCAATTTGCTACGAGTCGCTTGCCCTCTAGGAGACCTGCTACTTTGATCGAAGGGTTGGTCAATACCTGAGTGACAAAATAAAAAAAATCAGCGCTAAAAGTAATTTCCTTGCCAGCCAAAGTGTTGATGACATCATCGTGTGCTGTGACGTCACCTCGCGAGTTCACCCGCATAACCAGACGACACACATGAGGTTCGGTTACGTGAGGTTCGGTTACGAGCCGCATAACCAGACGTCGTCTGGTTATGCGGCTCGTAACTGAACCTCACGTTGTGGTGGATAATTGAATACTTCCCATGAGGACAAATGCGCACACACCTTGGGAAACGTTCCGGAATCCACGAATGGCGATTATCTCTCTTCCCCGTTATTCTTTTTGCTTGAATCCCACTGAACAAGCCGTTATGGCCCACAATCTCTGGCCAAACAATGCCAACAATGGGGTGTCATGGGCTTCCTGTGTTTGCATAATCTCCACTCAGGAAATCAAAGAGGCTGGCCAAAAGCGACAAAGGATCAGATTACTATAATGAGTCAACTTGGATTTAGTTAATCCCGACAATTTGTTAACACTGAGTATGTGTGTGTGCATGTCGAGGTGTATTGGGTGGACAAAGAGCGGTAGGTGTAGCCATTAGCGCGCTGCGCTATTAACCCGGCAACCGAGGTTCGATTCCTGCTCACGGCAAACATCGGTGACGATTGTCTGAACTGGTCCTGGGTCGACTCATTCTCAAATGAGTACCTGGTGCGGTGTGTAGTAAACATCGCCACTAGGGAGACAAATGCGGCCAGGTGTGGTGCTGGTCACCCACCCCTCGTGTGCCGTGCCGGCCTTCATAGTTGCTTGCTAACAGCACTTGCCCCAACAGTCTGTTAAGGCTACACGGGGGATCTTTGTATTGGGCCGAGCAGTGGCACGGTGGTTCGTGCACTGTGCTACGAAGCCGGTGAGCTGATTTCATTTCTTGGCAACAGCTACAATCAGTGGCGATTGCCCAAACCCCTCCGAGGCCTCGCCGAGGTTGATTCAACTCGAAATGAGAACAGTTGTGCAATGCGTCAGTATCAGTGCTCGGGAAACAAACTAAACAATGTTCATTTCACCAAGAAAGACCCACTGAGCTGGATGTCTCTTTTTCGGATGCGACTTGGCCACAAATTATAGCTCAACGAAGTGGCTTATCACGTGGAAATGTATAGCAGCCAAATGCTCTGAACATGTGATGGCAATTCTAAATGTGGAGGGAAAAACCGGAGGACACAGAGAAAAATCCACGCGGCCACGGGGAGAGAGAGAGACACAAACTCCAAATGTGTTAACTCTCTGCAAACACAACAAGATCGTCACGTTTACAACGTTATTGATCAGGCCTGCCACGGTGGCAAGATATGTATTACCTCGCCGTGTTCGATCCCGACCCTGACGCCTGCTGTATATTTGTAGTTTGCGAGTTCTTTCCGTGGTAGCGTGGATTTTTCTCTAGTTCCTCCGATTTTTCCTTTAATATTTAGTATCGAAGTGCCCTTAACAATATTTGGCTACTATAACTTTCCACGTGACAAGCCACTTCGTTGAGCTATCATTTGTAATCGCCACGTCGCTTCTGAAAAAGAGTCACATAGCTGGTAAAATAACAAAAACATCAGTTTTGAATATGAGTATGTGGCTGGGGGGGGGGGACAGGATTAAGACGCGTGGAGTCTCAGTGCGTCACTGCGACGTTGTTGGTGTGGCGGGTACCGAGGGTGGCGAGGACTCCGCACCCCATCCAGATGATGAGGCTGGGCCCCACGGCGCCGACGTTGTCGAGCACCGACTTGGGCGAGATGAAGATCCCCGAGCCGATCATCGTGCCCACGATGAGGCTGATGCCGCTCATCAGACCCACCTGTTGGCAACCGAGAAGTCGTCGTTGTCATTCTGTTTCTTGGCCAGGGCGAGAGCCGTAGGCGGAGTTTGACTTCTGTATTTGGGGATGGGGGCGGCAGGGGTTTGCTTTGTTACTCACATTATGAATCGCGGGTGCACGTCATTAATGAGTGTCTCATCTTAATTGTAAACCACAGGAAATGAATAAATAATGTCACCTCGCATCACATTCTTTCTCATCACTTCTTCATCTCGTCGCTTCATCTCTCTCTCGCTCGAGCCACAGCACTGCAGATCGTGTCGCGTTCCAGACGCGATTCGCGGACAGCCAAAACCGCGGACGGCAAGTTCGCGAATAACGAGGGAACACCGTACAGTATCTCGTTCCGCTGACTATAAATTAATAAAGGTGTCCAGTTTGCGGAAGGGACGGGGGTGGGGCATCGCCCCACGTGCCCCCCCAGCCCCCCGCTAACTGAGAGCGATGGAAGCTCATTCGCATGCGTGACCTGGGTGGCCAAAACGAGGAAAGCCAGACGTGATCAATTGGCAGCGGTGAAACGTTCAGAAGTTGGGTGCAAAAAGAACTCGCGTCGCGTAAGGATCTGAAAACGTATCGCGCGAACGCGAAAGATGTTCAACTCTGAACGAATGGGTTCGGTTGTAAAAGTTAAGTGACGTAAATGTGAAACGGACTTAGGGTGGCACTATTGCAGCGAGTACGCAAGGAGAGCACGTGTCGAATGCAATCGCAAAGGAAGTGGTCTTGAAGGATCGACAACTCGGCATCGAATTGTGGCTAAGATGGGAGAAGGAGCGAGAAAAGTCATGAAGCCACGGAATTGTAGTTGTTGTTTTGGGCAACGACGGGGAATGAGTGAGACTCGTGTGAGTGTGTGAGTGTGTGTGGGAAAAGTCCCATCGGTGAGCTCCTCCGGCAGGCAAGGCTGCGTTGGCTGGGCCATGTAGCCCGCATGCCCAGCCACCGCATGCCTAAACAGCTATTGTTCGTCCGGATCGAGGGGGCTAGACGGGCGCGGCACGGGCTAGAGAAGAGATGGAGTGATGTGGTACAGGAGGACGTGAAGCTGAGTGGGATTTGCCGATGACTGGTACCAGCGGTGTCAAGATCGGCCTCTGTGGAGGAGGCTCGTGAAGGACGCTACTGGGCAGTTGGAGGCAGTCGCCCTCCAACAACAACGGAGGGCGGAGGAGCGACGCTCACAACAACGAGCGGAGCGCCGGGTGGCTAAAGCACAGCAAGTTGGTACAGTAGGGGGCACAGGTGGTGCATCAGGCAGTCATCTCGGTCATCTCGGTCAGTCGACTTGTGGCACCTGGGTCTGCCCCGTGACCTCCTGCCAGCGGGCGTTCGACACTTCACGTGGCCTCAAGGTGCACTTGGCCTGGCACAAGCATCGTGGTGACGTCACCGCCACTTAGTGGCGAATGGCGGTTGTTGTTGTTGTTGAGTGTGTGTGAGTGTGTGTGAGAGTATGTGTGAGTGGGTGTGTGTGTTAGTGGATGTGAGTGTGTATGAGAGTGTGTGAGTGTGTGTGAGTGTGTGTGAGTGTGGGAGTGGGTATGTGTGAGTGTGTGTGAGAGTGTGTGAGTGGGTGTGAGTGTGTGTGAGAGTGTGTGAGTGGGTGTGAGTGTGTGTGAGAGTGTGTGAGTGTGTGTGAGTGTGTGTGAGTGTGTATATTGCACGCGCGGTGTGCAGGAGACAAGACCCAAGGCACGGAGACACGCTTTCACCAGAGCTACAATCGGTGCAAATAGCAACATTGACATGAGATAAAGGGCGCCACGGTGGCGAGATATGAACTACCTCACCTTGTATACAGGAGGTCGTGGGTTTGATCCCGACCCTGACGCCTACATAGTTGGAGTTTGCGTGTCTCTCTCCAGGTGGTTTCGTGGCTTTTCTCCGGGTCCTCTGGGTTTTCCCCTCCACATTTAGAATCAACGTCGCGCGTTTAAATTATCTGGCTGCTGCTCGGCATTGCCACGTGACAAGCCACTTCGTTGAGCTATCGTTTGTGCCCAAATAGAGCCGTATAGCTCAGTGGACCTTACCTGGTAAGATAAAAACAATAATCTTAATGTTTTGAAATATATAAACACTAGTTTTTGGTTTAGAAGAAGTGACGATGAATTTGCTCTGTAATCTTTATTTAGAGTTAGATGCCGAGAGGTTAAACGTCGTTTTAGTCAAGGGACATCTGAGCGACAATTCTAAAAATACTCGCTGGGGTGCCTCTCAAGATTCGGGTTTCTTATTTCCAAGGTCACACCTCCCGTTTGTATTCATTTGCCGTTAAATTCAAACAATGCGAGTTTACAGACAATCGCGAAATCTTGACCGGTTTACTCGACAGAGCTGCGACACGCAACACAGAGGCAGAGAAGCAGAGAAGCGGAGGAGATGCCGAGCGAACTGGAGATGTGAACGGAGCAGAATGAGATCATCAGACTGATGACTTGTACACCAACAATGATGAATGGAGGGGATGGAGAAATCCCAGACAAGGGGAGCTTCTCTTCGCCATGCGCAGGCTGAGTGGCCACTCGATGCACGAGATAAAAAGGTCAAAGCAACGGCTCTTGTCAAATAAACAACAACAACAACAACTAATTTAACACTTCTCAATTAAGTCCAATCCGCAGTGCCGGATTATCCTAGCAGCAAAAGTAGCTACGTATGCTACGGGCCCCGCACTTTCAAGGGCCCCGCACTAAATGCTTTCAAGCTAGCAATTCCGGTTCAGTGATTCTGCACTTGCTTTATTACGATAGTACTATCCCGCCTTCACCTTTTACGAACGACTGGGTGTTTAAGTTTCGCGATTTGTCGTAGTATCTGGCTGTATAGCAAATGAAAACATACAATTACTTTACTACGCAAGTTTATATTTACGTGTTTTTTTATTTAGGGCCCCTTTATAACATCATGCTACAGAGCTTCACCCGGCACTGCCAATCCGATCTATATTTATTATCAATCAGAAGGGCTGACTCTGCTGATGAGACGCTGCGTATCGAAACGGGTCCAGAGGTTGCTCCGACTGAACCACTGACGGTGATGTTTTGCTGATGTGTGCACTTGCAGAAGGCCAATGGGTTGTGTAAGCAATTATTTATTTTAAAAATATATTATGTGGAGAGATGTATGAAAGAGACATTAATCTTTCTGTACAATTTAGCAGAAGATGAAAACAAGCGGTTTATACAGAGTAGGAATCAAGTTTCCTGGATATTCCTTCCACAACCCATCAGCCGCACGGCCTTCTGGGAGTGTTTCATTTCAGCAGCTTTGATTCAAAAATAGTTTCGACACACGGTGTCCCATCGGCAGAGTTGGGCTTGTTTGAATCAGATTCAGACTGGAAGAATCTGAAGAGAATCAACTGCCAATCCTTTCACTCTACGGGCTCCTTGTTGGACACAGAAGGTCTTCTTGTTTGCAGCAGTGGCCTGAATCCAATTCCCACAGTTTCTGTGAATGGGCAGGGCCATCGGTGCCCTATAGTGGAGAGGGCCACCATTCTATACGACGAGTTGTATTTTACCAGCTGTGAGGCCCCCACTGAGCTATGGAGCTCTTTTTCAGAAGCGACCTGGCCATCACGAATGGCAGCTCAATGAAAGTGGCTGATCACGTGGACATTTATAGTAGCAGCAGCCAAACCACGTATGTCGAACTTGAACTTATCTCGAGCCGGACGGAGCCAACCGTGCGAATCGGAGGTGCGGGGGAACGACACGAAGCAGTGCCAAGGCTACCGCACCGTTTGTGACGAGCGCTGAGTGTTTGTAAAGTCCCCTGCGGCATCGGGCTTGAGGGCCCTGCAAGTCCCTGTGTGGCGGAGTGGATTTTTTTTAAAAAAAGCGGCTATACGGCACCCCGCTAGAAAGGGATGCATCGCTTCAGGCATCCAGAGTTGCACCGATGCATACCGATCGCAGTCAGAATATGTATTTATACTGCAGGAGGAATCCGATGAGGCGTGAAGCTCTTTCGTCACAGATGTCCAGTGGGGACACGGGGTAAGAACGCCACGGCAACAAACAGGACACACACACACGATAGCACCAAGGGTGTATCTCTGGGACACTTTGTGCCGGCACCACAATGATGACAACAGAAACACGCTTTGCCCGTTCTGGCAAAGAGACAAGAAGCGTCGCGCGATGCGGTGCCCGCCGCCTCCTCTGTTCGATGGTTGACAGCCAAAAGCCGCCGCTGCTGCTGCTGCGATGATGACCGCGGGGTTCGCGTGACGCTGGTGCATGCCACCCTGACGAGATAGGCGAGCAATTGTGGTGGTTCATTTGTGTCGAGCACTTTGTGTGTGATGAATGCGACCTTCTTACAATGAACACCGTGGCGGTGGCCACTTGTTGACTACCTCGTCTGGTGCGCAGGAGGTCGTGGGTTCGATCCCGACCCTGACGCCTGCTGCTGTACATTTGGAGTTTGTGTGTTTCTCTCATCATCAGCATCACGGTGGCCAGGAGATGTTGACTACCTTGCCTGGTACACAGGAGGTCGTGGGTTCGATCACAACCCTGACGCCTGCTGCTGTATATTTGGAGTTTGCGTGTCTCCCTCTCCCCGTGGTCGCGTGGATTTTTTTTATCGAGGCCCCTCCGGGGTTTTCCCTTCCACGTTTAGAATCAACAACGTCGCGCATTTAGAGTGATTTGACGGCCGCTATCGATGCCCACGTGATGAAAAGCCACTGCGTTGGACTTTAGTTAAGTGCGATAGGCAGCGTCGCTTCTGAAAAAGAGCGACAGAGCTCAATGGACCTTACCCGGTAAAATACAAAAGTGTAATAATAGGTGGTAACCATTGCTGGTGCAGCCCGCATACACTCGAGGGGCAGTAGCGGGTGGGTGCAGCCGCGCTCACCTCTTGCTTGAGTCGCATGGTGTTGCTGCCCCCTCCGCTGCTGCTCTTCGAGCTGATGGAGCCTCGGGAGGGGCCGCTCCCCGGGGTCGCCCCGTTCGAGTCGGCCACGTGCCGCCGCTTCAGCGAGTCCTTCATGGCGCCTGCGGAGTGTCCCGGGCTCTGGCTCCCACCTCTCTCTCTCTCGGTGCCGATCGCCACCCACCAGCTCCCGGTTCAAGTGGCGGCAGCAGCAGCAGCAGTTGTGGCGGTGGCGGCGGTTTCGCTGTTAGCCGGCAGGCTGGACTCGGGCCGCGTCGCGAGGGATCTGCAGCAGGACAGGCGCGGCGGATACTTTGTCCTGATCGTGGCACCGCCCTCGCTGCGTTTGTTGTCGCCGCGTTTTATGAAAATCGAGTAACGACCCAGAAGCATGACAGCAAAGGGGTTAATCATTATTCGCCCTGTGGACTCATTTGCACTGTGTTCATTGGTCACACATGTAATGGTAAGTACTGTACGTTGAACTTCTTTCGCACCGTACGTAGCCAACCCGCGCTCATCGGAGGTGCGGGGGATGGACATCAAACTAAAAACAAAAATTAGTTCTAAAGAAATGCGTTTTCAGCGCTATACATTCTTTTTTGCTGTCTCAATATAATCGCGATTGTGCGATCTGCGTCACGCCCCGAAACTAACCATGACCCCGTTCGGATCCCTCGCAGGATCAATGCGACTCCACACACGGGTCGATAACGGCCCGTGGAAGCGGACACCGCAGAGCTACCTCTGAGACCCCCTGTTCAAGCCACCTCTGGTCCATTTAGTCCTGGAGCCACGCGTTTCCCGCCCGCTCTGCAACCCAGAGTGCACGCGAGTCGCACGGTAGCCACACCGATATTGGTTCATTCTTGGAGCTAGAACGAAGCCCAAATTCAGCGGAGAGCCATACTTAACACGGTGGTTTGTTGTTGTTATTGTTGTGCTGTCGTTGGTGACCGGGCTCCGCCCCATCAACTCTCTGCACTCCAGAGCCAAGTTTTCGCCACAGGAGGCTTGGAACCTGGATTCGGCATCTCAAGCGGTTGCCCGTTCAGCGCTGCGACCCAACAGCTCTGTGCCAACATTGATCGAGCTCTTAAAACCTTTCCACTTCAAACGACTTTCGTAATCTACACAAAGCGGCGGTGAGCCGTGATCTAAGAGGAGTATCGCGCAGAGTAAACGTACCTGAGAGAGAGACTTGTGTTTTTCTGTTCTTTGCACGAGTCTAAAGTCTGGCAGCCCGAACGGTGATCACCTTGCTGACAACCACCGCCCTACTCCTGCGAGGACGATTATCCGAGTGCAGGTTTTATAGGGGTCGGGGTGTGGGGTGGTTGGGGGCGGAACGAGATACGGCGTTCCCTCGTTATTCGCGAACTTGCCGTCCGCTGTTTTGGCTATCCAAGAATGGCATCTGAACTCTACACCATCTGCAGTACCGTGTTGTATCGAGCGAGAGAGATTAAGCGATGAGATAAAGCGATGAGAGAGAGAGAGCGTTATGCGAGAAGGGGATGAGATAAGGCGATTGTACAGCAGAGAGAAAGAACCAAGAAGATGAATCCCTGCAGTCACGAAAGCTTTAAATCGAAATTTAAGGTAAGTTCATTTATAAACTATTATTTAATATTTTAATATTTAGTTTATGTTTAAAATAACCAGCGTGTTATTATGATGATTTTCACGTATTGAATAGCTTGTTTACGTATTTAAGGTCATTCATTCAACAGGATAGGTTTTCGTAGGCCAATATTCTCATCCGCAAAAGTTGCTCTTCGTGAGACATTTTCGTAACGTACCCCTCGCGAATAACGAGGGCACACTGTAGTTTGCTGTTATTTGTATAATAAGCAAGCAGACTGTGTGTCTCTTTCACACGTCGATCTCCACACAAAACTAAAAGCATCGCTGCCCTGGGAGTGCTTCACCCCAGCAGCTTGAAGACGACTAAAACTCTGCACCGGTCTCGACCCGCCAGTGTCTCACCAGCGGAGTGGGGCTCGCACGAGACATCGCTGGCGAGCTACCAATCGTAGAGGCAAAGAAAGACGTTCCTCCTCTCTGAAGCCTGTGCGGGCTTCTCATTCCACGCAGAGTCATCTGAGACGTAACTCGAAAAATATAGCGACCAATGAACTCCACAGAAGAAACATCTCCGTGGCGTATCTGCCTAGACACGTACAAAATGTATTGTCTCAGCAGAAAACCAACCTGTTCTATATAGTCTTATTGCCTCGGCAAATAATCGCTGCGCTGATGTCACCTATAATGCATGCGATACCGCGAGAAGAGCTCGTACGTGTGTACGTACTGTACCGTGAACTTCTTTCGCACCGTACGTAGACAACCGTGCCAATCGGAGGTGCAGTGTTAGTCTATGGGCAGTGTTGAGTCTATAGTAGTGTTGAGTCTATGGGTAGTGTTAGTCTATGGGTAGTGTTAGTCTATGGGCAGTGTTGAGTCTATGGGTAGTGTTGAGTCTATGGGTAGTGTTAGTCTATGGGCAGTGTTAGTCTATGGGTAGTGTTGAGTCTATGGGCAGTGTTGAGTCTATAGTAGTGTTGAGTCTATGGGTAGTGTTGAGTCTATGGGCAGTGTTGAGTCTATAGTAGTGTTGAGTCTATGGGCAGTGTTAGTCTATGGGCAGTGTTGAGTCTATGGGTAGTGTTGAGTCTCTGGGCAGTGTTGAGTCTATGTGTAGTGTTAGTCTATGGGTAGTGTTGAATCTATAGCAGTGTTGAGTCTATGGGTAGTGTTAGTCTATGGGCAGTGTTAGTCTATGGGCAGTGTTGAGTCTATGGGTAGTGTTGAGTCTCTGGGCAGTGTTGAGTCTATGTGTAGTGTTAGTCTATGGGTAGTGTTGAGTCTATAGTAGTGTTGAGTCTATGGGTAGTGTTAGTCTATGGGCAGTGTTGAGTCTATGGGTAGTGTTGCATCTATAGCAGTGTTGAGTCTATGGGTAGTGTTAGTCTATGGGCAGTGTTAGTCTATGGGTAGTGTTGAGTCTATAGTAGTGTTGAGTCTATGGGTAGTGTTAGTCTATGGGTAGTGTTGAGTCTATGGGCAGTGTTGAGTCTCTGGGTAGTGTTGAGTCTATGTGTAGTGTTAATCTATGGGTAGTGTTGAGTCTATGGGTAGTGTTGAGTCTATGGGTAGTGTTGAGTCTCTAGGCAGTGTTGAGTCTATGTGTAGTGTTAGTCTATGGGTAGTGTTGAGTCTATGGGCAGTGTTGAGTCTATGGGTAGTGTTAGTCTATGGGTAGTGTTGAGTCTCTTGGGCAGTGTTGAGTCTATGTGTAGTGTTAGTCTATGGGCAGTGTTGAGTCTCTGGGCAGTGTTAGTCTATTGTCCTCATTCCTCCTCTCTACTCTGGTTTCAAGTCCCAACAAGATTCTATACTTTGAGGGTCGAGTATGCGCGATCACAACGTAGACAATGGTGACATCGAGAAGCTGTCCTGATCCTGAGCCTGCCGCACTCCCACTGGCGAGGCGCGCGAGAAGGGCGATCGCGACCTCACGCTGCTTGCTGCGAAGGTATTTCGATGAAGGCACTCACCAGGTATTGCCCGCCTTCATGACACGCGCTCTCTCAAACAGGTTAACCATTGCTTTGACCCATCTAGACGAATCGCTGGTTGTGCAAGGGAGAGGGGGCATTTAGAAAATAAATCAATAATGAAAACTCTTCAATGTACATCTGTGCTCCTGTCACCCGAACTTTGCACTGATGAACGCGCATGTGTGGCCGACCTCCGGCTTAATTGGTCCTAATTAATTATTAAGCAGCCAAAGGCTTTGCTCTCTCTCCCTGCCCTCCCCCACTCCCTTCCAGTCTGAGAATGACAAATCAGTGGCCTAGATGTGGAGTGCACGGGCGGTGCAGCTGCAAGGCCCCCCTATGGGCCGGAGGGGGCCCAGGCATTGGAGAGGGGGGCCTGGCATGGTAGGGGGCCCCAGACATCGTAGAGGGGGGGCCTCAGGTATTGGGCTACAGATAAGCGGGATATTGTAGAGGGGCCCGACACAGACAGAGGCTTGGAGATTAACTAAAAACTAAACCCCAGTCTGTCCTTCTATAACGCGGTAGTTGCGTTCCCGATGCACATTTCGTTGTGAAAAAAAAAATCACGTTGTAATAAATAATTATATAATATGGAGCCGAGCACGGTCCGCGCTAACACGCGAGATGCGTCCGCATGCCGAGCAAAGACGGAGGCGCGTGGGTAGAATCTAGAAGCATCCAGCAGCATCCCACTGCCTCGTGTGATGCTACTAAGAGGCGACTGTACGACTGATGTTACCTACTCGCACGACGTAGTTCTGTTCGCTCAATCGCGTTGTCTGCAATTCGTTGTGAAAATGTGTTCCCGAATACATTGATCGCATTATATCCAAATTCGCTTCAAGAAAACAACACGCAGCGTTATAGGAGAACAGACTGGCCACAAATGATAGCTCAACGAAGTGGCTTATCGTCATCAATGTGGAATTTATAGCATCAGCTGAATAAAACGCGTGATGTTGATTCTAAATGTGGAGGGAAAAACCGGAGGACCCGGAGAAAAATCCACGCGACCACGAGAAGAGAGAGACACGCAAACTCCAAATATGCAGCAGGCGTCAGGGTCGGGATCGAACCCACGAACCTTCTGCATACCAGGCGAGGTAGTTAACATCTCCTAGCCACCGCGGCGCCACCGTAAGCACAGAGATAAACGGAGATACATAGAGGGAGATCAAGACGGGCGGATGGATACAGAGACACGCAGACACAGAGGGAAACGGGGAGACACGCAGAGACGGACGCAGAGACACTGAGAGATAAAGATGGGCGCACAGACACATACACAGCGAGCCACACACGTGGATAGGGATACAAGACAAAGATCCCCCGTGTAGCCTTAACAAACTGTAGGGGCAAGTGCTGTTAGCGAGCACCTATGAAGGCCGGCACGGCACAACGCAGAATGGGTGGCCAATACCACGCCCGGCCGCCTTTATCTCCCACAGTGGCGATGTTTACACACCGCACCACGTACCTGTTCAAGGCTGAGTCGACCTAGGGGGGGGGGGGTTCCCGTGACCGGCTAAAAGATTCCGTCACTCTGGGTCGCCGGGTTCGTAGCGCAGTGAGTAAGTGCGCGTGCCCACAGACACTCAAACACTCACCTGCTCGGAGGGGTGGGTGGTGTTTCCTGGGCTGCGGCAGTGAGTGCCGTTAAGGGTGCACGATGCAGTCCTGGTGATTCATTAATTTGGCGAGCCAGCTCTTAGTGAGGCAGGCAGGCAGGTCATTGATAAGGCGTTGGATAAGTAGGTAGGCGGGTGGGATGTGGAGGGGGGGTGAGTGAATGTCGAAATACAGGCGTGCCTCGAATAGCGCGCCACGCGCGTTCCCGGTAAACAGCACGTAAGTGGGATGCACTGCATGGCGCCTGTTGCCCATAGACATACATGTTCACCGGACGGGGATGCGTTACCGAAAATAAAAAAGTATTTTATTCAGCAAGAGAGCTACTGCAGCTAGAGGTTATTTACGTTTGAGATGGGTACAACCCAAGGGTAAGTGGGCGGGGCTAGAGATGGAATTTGCATGTAAATGTAGGATCGCAGAGCTTGGAATACCCCGGCTAATCACGTCTGCATTCACCACAATACTTGTGATCAGAATGCGAACAGAAATGAAGGCGATGGGTATTAGCTTGGTGTCGCGGCATCTCTTGAGAGAAGTGAGCGACTCGATCAGATGAGCCCTCTCGTCTCGGAGTCTGTTAACAGATCTCATGGCTGTGTGGAAATCCTCCCCGTAGAGGCAGGTAAATCTTAAATTAAAGCTTTCGTGACTGCAGGAATTCGTACTCTTTGGGTCTTTCGGTAAAGTCACGGTGATAGAAAAATAATAAAATAATACATTTTATATTTATTTTTATACAGGCAAGGCTGCGTTGGCTGGGTCATGTTGCCCGCATGCCCAGCCACCGCATGCCTAAACAGCTTTTGTTCGGCCGGATCGAGGGGGCTAAACGGGCGCGGCACGGGCTAGAGAAGAGATGGAGTGATGTGGTACAGGAGGACGTGGAGCTGAGTGGACTTACGTATGACTGGTACCAGCGGTGTCAAGATCGGCCTCAGTGGAGAAGGCTCGTGAAGGACGCTACTGGGCAGTTGGAGGCAGTCGCCCTCCAACAACAACGGAGGGCGGAAGAGCGACGCTCACAACAACGAGCGGAGCGCCGGGTGGCTAAAGCACAGCAATTTGGCACAGTAGGGGGCACAGGT